TCTGAATGAAACACCACCAAGCTTGGCAGCGTATATTTAAGCTGGGTTGGAGGGGGAAGAGCGCCTTGACTAAACATTTGCATATGAATTATGTTTTATTTTTATTATTTTATTATTTCCCTTCCACGTGACTTTACCGAAAGAACCAAGAAGACGAATCCCTGCAGTCACGAAAGCTTTAAATCGAAATAAAATACAATTTTCACAATTGTATTTTATTATGTTTTAGAATTGTATTTTATTAAGTGTTATTTTTGTATTTTATTATGATTTATTATTTATTATTTTATTATTTCCCTTCTACGTGACTTTACCGAAAGAACCAAGAAGATGAATCCCTGCAGTCACGAAAGCTTTTCAATCGAAACATTCTTACCCGATGAAGCAAAACGTCGCACTACTCAAATTTTAAAATGCTGTTGATTCTCTCTTCAACACACCGGTGGGTTAAAGAAGTGAATTGCGTTTTCCTTTTTAAAAAACGTGACACATTTTTTACTGTTTGGCCGTGTCGGGTGGTGGAGGGTTACGACACATTTATAAATAACGCGATCTAAACCCAAAAACCTTGATTATGAATAAGCAGAAGAAATACAACATCTTGCAGATTCCAGTGTAAAGTGTAGTGTATAGTAGTATATAGTGTAGTGTAGTAGTGTATAGTGTAGTGTATAGTGGTATATAGTGTATAGTGTATTGTATAGTAGTGTATAATAGTGTATAGTAGTGTATAGTGTAGTGTACTAGTACAGCACTAGTGTGTAGTGTATAGTGTAGTGTATAGTGTAGTGTATAGTGTAGTGTATAGTAGTCTAGTGTATAGTGCAGTGTATAGTAGTGTAGTGTATAGTGTAGTGTATAGTGTAGTGTATAGTAGTGTATAGTGTAGTGTATAGTGTAGTATATAGTGTAGTGTATAGTGTAGTGTATAGTAGTGTAGTATATAGTGTAATATACTAGCACAGCACTAGTGTATAGTGTACTAGTACAGCACTAGTGTGTAGTGTAGTGTATAGTGTAGTGTATAGTAGTATAGTGTAGTGTATAGTGTATAGTAGTGTATAGTAGTGTAGTGTATAGTAGTGTAGTGTATAGTGTAGTGTATAGTGTAGTGTATAGTGTAGTGTATAGTAGTGTAGTGTATAGTAGTGTAGTGTATAGTGTAGTGTATAGTGTAGTGTATAGTGTAGTGTATAGTATAGTATACTAGCACAGCATCACCGTTGTGTTGGAGAGCCAAGCCACAACATTTACAATCTGAGTACGACGTTTCGCCAGTCAGTGCCTGTTCAGAAGCTGACCTTGAGGTCATCGTCAGCATATTTACAGAAGCTTACAAGAGCGTGGATCTAACATTGAATGTCGGCAAAAACAAATATCCTTTTCCGACAAGCTTCGTGAGGACATCTATCACCCCCTACAATCACTACCAACAACGCAATACTAGAAAACGTTCACAGTTTCCCATACGTAGGCAGCCATCTCTCAAGCAAAGTCTTAATTGATTACACTGGTCAACACACTTTTTATGGAATAAGATATTCCGACGGTTTTAAGGTCATTTTGTGGGGTGCTGATTCCAAATCTGGCATCAGTTTTTGTCTATCACATCAGGTTTTTTGAGATATCAAATATTGCATTTTCAATAAAAATTGCAGAAGAAAAATATTAAATAAATATGGATGTCTAAATAAAATGATATTATAAACACACTATCCTAAAAATACAGCACCATATTTTATCACTAAAGCAGTCACTGACTCGCAACAACTTGCAATCATAAGTGACAGAGTTAATTTCGGGTAAAATCAATGAAAATGGGGTATGCCGATAGCATAAAAAATTAACCCGTAAAAACAAAGTTTTTCACTATAAATCCTTTATATGCGTGGCGGCTAGAGTCCTCTCGTCCTCTGGCTTGAGATGGCTGCAACCTATGGGTCAGATGATTGCATGGCAGCATTAAGCAATTGGTAATTAAATATTTAATTATTTTTCCCTAAACAGTGTAAAATTTAGGAAAAAGAATTTTCACGAAAATAAATTGTCACGCACAACGAGTCTGTGTGCAAAATGTCAGCTCGATTGGATCACGGGAAGTGGGTTAAAAAACGACCGAAAGATTTGCACGGTCGTAAGCAAGCAAGCAAGCACGCAAGCAAGCAAGCGAACTTAATATAAAGGATTTAAAAATGAGATGTGATAGAGCAAATCTGAGATCACATTTGGAATCGGCACCCTGAAATTAGTCTAAAACAGCTGCGAAAGTCCAAGCCAGAATTTTTTTTTGTTGACCAGTGTAATGAAATCCAACATCGGTCTTCGAAGATCACGACATTACCACCAAAACCAAATCATTGCGACCCTCTTATATGGTGCAAAAACCTCGACCACCTATCGTCAACACGTAAAATCTCTCGAAATGTTTCATCGACGCTGTCTCGGGGAAAATACTAAACATCACCTGGGGAGAAAGACCGCACTAATATCGGCATCCTGGAGCGCGATCCAACTCACGATGAAGTATCAACTCAGATGGGCAGGTCACCTTGCGAGAATGAATGACTTCTTTTTGGTTCTTTCGGTAAAGTCACGTAGAAGGGAAATAATATAATAAAACATTAAGTCGCGTAGAAGGGAAATAATAAAATAATACAACTTAGATTAAGGCCATCAGTCTAACTCTGTACTACAACAACACAAACATGGCTAAACCAATACACTTTTCGAAATCACCTAAACAAAGCCATGAAAGCAATGAAAAAGCAATCATAGGAACTGTGACGGAATTTTCACAATAAATGGCATAAACAACATGTACTACCAAAACCCTGCGAAACGATGACCTCTATACGTGCGGCCGTGCACATGGCAGCTATCGTTAACACAGTTATCTCCTAGCGCACACACACCGCAACTAACGCGAACACAGCACACAGCATTATCACTGCGTCTGTTGGCGTCAAAGTGCATACATTACACAACTGGTCAACAACAAAAAAAAATTTTCTGGCCTGGACATTTGCATAGCGTCACTGCTGAACCCAAATCTTGATGATAATTGCTTTTTACCCTTCTATCTGGCAACAAAACTGACACCTTTTTATACGAGGAGTCATGTTTCCATAGACTACAATACCTGCAGCCATAATGCAAACAGAAAACATAACTCTGATAATGATATGCACTGTCCTTGAAGTTGATTGGTCCACACCCGAGACAGCTTTCCTTAGAGCCTAGTCTCACATGGTATTGGACCAGATGACGCCAAAAGGCGCACAACTCAAAGACAATGCACCATCAGAGTATGAGAGCTCGGGGTAAGAATTTACACCATTGGAACCTCATTTGCCAGTAAAAAATATGATAATTGGTTTTTTACCCTTCTATCTGGCAACAAAACTGACACCTTTTTTTACATGGAGTCATGTTTGCATAGACCACAATACCTGCAGTCGTAATGCAAACAAAAAACACAACTCTGATGATGTATGCACTGTCCTTGAAGTTGATTGGTCCACACCCGAGACAGCTTTCCTTAGAGCCTAGTCTCACATGGTGTTGGACCAGATGACGCCAAAAGGCGCACAACTCAAAGACAATGCACCATCAGAGTATGAGAGCTCGGGGTAAGAATTTACACCATTGGAACCTCATTTGCCAGTAAAAAAATATGATAATTGGTTTTTTACCCTTCTATCTGGCAACAAAACTGACACCTTTTTTTACAAGGAGTCATGTTTGCATAGACTACAATACCTGCAGTCGTAATGCAAACAAAAAACACAACTCTGATAATATATGCACTGTCTTTGAAGTTGATTGGTCCACACCCGAGACAGCTTTCCTTAGAGCCTAGTCTCACGTGGCGTTGGACCAGATGACGACAACAAGCTTTCGTGACTGCATCAATCCATACTCTTTGGTTCTTTCGGTAAAGTCACGTAGGTAGAAAATAAAATAGAGATTTCCATTGTACATGAACCTTTCTTCGATTTGACTAAAGCTTTCGATTCTGTCAAACGTGAAGCACTAATGCAGACTCCTTCTAAGAAATGGCTGCCCAACAAAATGTGTTCATTGAACGCGTAGGCTTTCGCGACAAAAATCATCCATAACACTGGTCAACAACAACAAAAACAACATTCTGGCCTGGACTTTTGCAGCTGTTCTAGACTAATTTCAGGGTGCCGATTCCAAATCTGAGCTCAGATTTTCTCTATCACATCTCATTTTTATGCTATCGGCATACCCCATTTTCATAGATTTTACCCGAAATTAACTCTGTCACTTATGATTGCAAGTTGTTGCAAGTCAGTGACTGCTTTAGTGTTAAAATACGGTGCTGTATGTTTATGATAGTGCGTTTATAATATCATTTTATGTAGATATCCACATTTATTTAATATTTTTCTTCTGCAGTTTTTATTGAAAATGCAATATTTGATATCTCAAAAACCCGGCTGAGTACGGGTACGGCCGGGTACGGGTAGGGTACGGGTAGGGTACGGGTAGGGTACGGGTAGGGTACGGGTAGGCCGTGAGTCACTGGTGAGTCACCGTTTGTCACTCATTTCCCAACGTCTTGTCTCTTCTCACAATTCAAGTTGCTAGAATCAACCCACCCGCGCCTGCAACATGGCTTCATCCCAGAGGTCACAATCAGGTACCCGATACCCGCACCCTACCCGATACCCGGCCGGGTACGGGTAGGGTACGGGTATCGGGTACCAGGGGCGGTTTCTTCATTAGGGCGATTGGGCGATGCACCACCAAAGTGTGAAAGGGACTTTTTCAATCACATTCAAAATCTCATTCAACCAGAGTCACGCTAGCCGTCACTGTGCCTCTGGATATAGTCCAATCAGCGTCATGTCACGTTCTGTGGAGTACCGCCTCTTTTTGGGCGATTTCACTCCGGCTGAGAATCGCCCAGAGTGTTCCCATAGACTTACATTCAAAGATGTTTTTTTTCGAACGGCGGGCACTCCAATGCATTCTCTATGGCTTCCGGGAGGGCTCGCCCTAACGTGCTGACGTCATCATACGTAAGCACGTTTCAGTCAACAATATTATTTGTCGCCACCTAGTGGAATCTTTAATAAAAGAAACTGAGTGGATTGTAATAATAGTGAGTATAGAAACAAACAAGGAGATGTATTGTAAGAGTCACTTTATTTTTCATTAATATTAAAGAAGTGAAGTTGCCTTAACATGCTTAACCTGTTAATTTATCCATTGCATGGGTGGACCTTATCCTTATCAATCATCCAGACATTTGCCCCCCCTGAGAGATTTTGCGACCCTGGTGCGGCCGTGTATGGGTAAGGAATCAAAATCCGTTTGCGACCTCTGACCTGCGGGCGATTATCTTATAGCGTGCGCACCGCAGCTAATGCGAGCACAACACACAGCATTATCAGTGCGCCTTTTGGTGTCACAGTGCATACATTATCAGAGTTGTGTGTTTTTTGTTTGCATTCCGACCGCAGGTATTGTGGTCAATGCAAACATGACTCCTTGTAAAAAAAGGTATCAGTTTTGTTGCCAGATAGAAGGGTAAAAAAAACTATTTTCGATTAAAAGCTTCTTTCGTGACTGCAGGGATTCATCTTCTTGGTTCTTTCGGTAAAGTCACGTAGAAGGGAAATAATATATTAATAAAATTTATCATAAAAATAAAACATAATAAAATACAATTCTCACGACGTTTCGGCCACAACGCAAGCAGCCGTCCTCAGGTGAAGAACAGGTCTGTCGGAAAGACAACAAAACATTCAGACGCTGTCTTTCCGACAGACCTGTTCTTCACCTGAGGACGGCTGCTTGCGTTGTGGCCGAAACGTCGTGAGAATTGTATTTTATGATGTTTTATTTTTATCATTTTATTATTTCCCTTCTACGTGATGACTTTACCGAAAGAACCAAGAAGATGAATCCCTGCAGTCACGAAAGCTTTAAATAGAAATAAAATACAATTCTCACAATTGTATTTATTATGTTTGAGAATTGTATTTTATTATGTTTTATTTTTATTATTTTATTATTTCCCTTCTACGTGACTTTACTGAAAGAACCAAGAAGAAAAAAACAATTGTCATATTTTGCTACAGGCAAAGGAGGTTCCAATGGTGTAAATCTCTATGTATCTCTATGTATCTCTGTGTCTCTGTGTGTCTCTGTGTATCTCTATGTATCTCTATCTGTCTCTATGTGTCTCTATCTATCTCTATGTGTCTCTATGTATCTCTATGTGTCTCTATGTATCTCTGTGTATCTCTATGTGTCTCTATGTATCTCTATGTGTCTCTATGTATCTCTATGCATCTCTATGTGTCTCTATGTCATTGTTTGTCTGTCTGTCTGTGTCTGTGTGTGTGTGTCTGTGTTTCTGTGTGTGTGTCTGTGTGTCTGTGTGTGTGTCTGTGTGTGTGTCTGTGTGTCTGTGTGTGTGTCTGTGTGTGTGTCTGTGTGTCTGTGTGTCTGTGTGTGTGTCTGTGTGTCTGTGTCTGTGTGTCTGTGTGTGTGTCTGTTTGTCTGTCTGTCTGTGTCTGTGTGTGTGTGTCTGTGTTTCTGTGTGTGTGTCTGTGTGTGTCTGTGTGTGTCTGTCTGTGTGTCTGTGTGTGCGTGTGGCCGAAACTTGCGACGGATTTGGTTCGCAAACCGTGGGGTTTAGTTTTTAAACAATCAGTAATATTTAAAAATACTTTTAAAAAACACGCTTTTATGAAATGTACTCGTAATGGAACAACTCCACGACTCCAGGAAGTGGCCCCGAAGTTTGCCATGACGTAGGGGACCGTGGCCAATTACAGCCAACGTCAGTTGAGCGTGGACAATTAGACCCAAGCCGAAACATAACGTGTAAAAATGAATGTTAAAAATATTTATTTTATTTTTTAATGATAGAATATAGTATTGTCATCAGTAAGACATACGTATACCAAGTTTGCAATCGATAGCACATTGAAAAGTGGGTTAAAATTGAGTTACAAGATTTGAGTATACCACAACAACAGAGTTCATAGAAAGCGTATAACAAGATCGTTTAAAATGTTTTATTTTAATTTTTATGATAAAATCTAGTATTGTCGTCAGTAAGACATACGTATACCAAGTTTGCAATCGATAGCACATTGAAAAGTGGGTTAAAATTGAGTTACAAGATTTGAAGATACGACAACAACAGCAGACAGAGTGAGTTAAATGAAAGCAAAATAATAAAAAAGTAGCCAGTTACCACGCCATCAACTCCGTAGTAGTTAAATTAACGATTTAGTGCTTCTTAGTATTATTTATTCATTTAATTGCGCCAAAACTGCCCTAAGGTTGCCCCTAGCAACGCGCACGTGCGCTGTCCGGATGTTGCCCCTAGCAACGCGCACGCGCGCCAAAGCTGCCCTGGGGGTTGCCCCTAGCAACACGCACGCGCGCCAAGGCTGCCCTGGGGGTTGCCCCTAGCAACGCGCACGTGCGCTGCCTGGGGGTTGCCCCTAGCAACGCGCACGCGCGCCAAGGCTGCCCGGATGTTGCCCCTAGCAACGCGCACGCGCCAAGGCTGCCCGGGGGTTGTCCCTAGCAACACGCGCACGCGCCAAGGCTGCCTGGGTGTTGCCCCTAGCAACGTGCACGTGCGCTGTCCGGATGTTGCCCCTAGCAACGGGCACGCGCCAAAACTACCATGGGGGTTGCCCCTAGCAACGCGCAGGCTACATCTGTGGAGGTCTGGGGGAGGAAATTGTCATTCGAGTCGAGACCTTGCAAGGTAAGTGGCAGAGATTGACGGCTCTGTTCAAGCATTCATCGATATTGATCTGAAGTGTTCGTGATCTGCACGGAGCCATAACTCGTTGGTTCTTTCGGTAAAGCGACGTGGGATGGAAAATTTTAATTAAATTTAAATAAAAATTCGCGAAGTTTCGATCGCTAGCAGACGATTTTATAGCGAAATAAGTAAACAGGATTTAGATATTTTCTTGGTTCTTTGGGTAAAGTCACGTAGAAGGGAAATAATAAAATAATAAAAATAACACGTCATTATTTTATTATGGTTTATTTTTATTAATAAATAAAATAAGTATGTTTTATTATTATTAAAATACCACATCATTATTTTTAATGTTTTATTTTTATTATTAAATAAAATAAGTATGTTTTATTTTTATTAAAATAACACGTAATTATTTTGTAATGTTTTCTTTTTATTATTAAATAAAACTAAGTATGTTGTATTTTTATTTTTGTATTATTAAAGTCACGTAGAAGGGAAATAATAAAATAAGAAAAAATAACACATTTTTATTTTATTATTTCCCTTCTACATGACTTTTCCGAAAGAACCAAGAAGATGAATCCCTGCAGTCACGAAAGCTTTAATTCTAGATTTTCTTTCCTGCAGGATTTCACGTCAAGAACTCTTGTGACTTTTATCGATTTAAAGTTTTCGTGACCGCAGGGATTCATATTCTTGGTTCTTTCGGTAAAGTCACGTAGAAGGGAAATAATAAAAGAATAAAAGAAAACAATTTAAAAAAAAATCTTGCTGTGATTTTCACACCTGATGATGATTGCTTGTGTTGCCATCGAAACGTCGTGAGAATTTTATTTTTTTATTTTTATCATTTTATTATTTCCCTTCTACTTGACTTTGCCGAAAGAACCACGAATATGTTACGACTTTGTTTACATTTCATTTACACTTTCGCTCACCGCAATTTTGTTTCGCCCAAGTGGCGAAACAACATTGATGGTGTACGGTGAATTTTTCTGCAATATTTTGCTGTCTTTTCTCGGATTTTCTGTTTGCACTCAGTCACTTTAAGATGTTTTCTTGTTCATTTTTTAGTTTTTTTGTTTGTTGCGGTTGCACCCGATTCAAGAGCCGAATGGCTCACATGGCTATACTTAATACATGAACTTGAAACTTGAAACTTCATTGCTTTCATGGCTTTGTTTAGGTGATTTCGAAAAGTGTATTGGTTTGGCCATGTTTGTGTTGTTGTAGTACAGAGTTAGACTGATGGCCTTAATCTAAGTTGTCTTGTGGTTGTTGTTGTTGTTTGTGTTGTTGTAGTACAGAGTTAGACTGATGGCCTTAATCTAAGTTGTCTTGTGGTTGTTGTTGTTGTTTGTGTTGTTGTAGTACAGAGTAAGACTGGTGGCCTTAATCTAAGTTGTCTTGTGGTTGTTGTTGTTGTTTGTGTTGTTGTAGTACAGAGTTAGACTGATGGCCTTAATCTAAGTTGTCTTGTGGTTGTTGTTGTTTGACTTGCATCCCACTGGGATTTTTGCACACAGCGTTGGTGTGTACGGTGTTAGTGTATAGTGTAGTGTATAGTGTAGTGTATAGTGTAGTGTATAGTGTAGTATATAGTGTAGTATACTAGTACAGCACTAGTGTATAGTAGTGTATAGTGTAGTGTATGGTGTAGTGTATAGTGTAGTATACTAGTACAACACTAATGTAGTGTATAGTGTAGTATACTAGTACAGCACTAGTGTAGTGTGTAGTGTATAGTGTACTTGTATAGAGGCATAGTCACTTAGTCACTTTAAGATGTTTTCTTGTTCATGTTTTAGTTTTTTGTTTGTTGCGGTTGCACCCGATTCAAGAGCCGAATGTCTCACAGGGCTAGATACCTAATCAATGAACTTTAAAACATCGCACTCGATCTAGATATGAAGCGTTCGTGACGTTATTAATATTTTAATTTATTATTCTTCTACCTACGTAGCTTTACCGAAAGAACCAAAGAGTATGGATTCGTGCAGTCACGAAAGCTTCAAATCACGTGCATCGAGAAATAATAGGAATACATTCCGTTACTTTAAATAACATTTCAATGTGCGTGTGTCAGTGTTAAGTCCAAGTAAGTGTGTGTGTGTAAGTTCATGTGTGTGTGTGTGTGTAAGTCCATGTGTGTGTGTGAGTCGCTGTGTGTGTGTAAGTTCATGTGTGTGTGTGTGTAAGTCCATGTGTGTGTGTGAGTCGCTGTGTGTGTGTAAGTTCATGTGTGTGTGTGAGTCGCTGTGTGTGGCAGTGTAAGTCCAAGTGTGTGTGTGTGTCGTAGTCTATGGGTGTGAGTCGGTGTGTGTGTGTGTGTAAGTCCATGTGTGTGTGTGTGTTATAGTCTAAGTGTGTGTGTGTAAGTCAATGTGTGTGTGTAAGTCCATGTGTGTGTGAGTCGCTGTGTGTGTGTAAGTCCATGTGTGTGTGTGTGAGTCGCTGTGTGTGTGTAAGTTCATGTGTGTGTGTGAGTCCATGTGTGTGTGTGTGAGTCGCTGTGTGTGTGTAAGTCCATGTGTGTGTGTGAGTCCATGTGTGTGTGTGAGTCGCTGTGTGTGTGTAAGTCCATGTGTGTGTGTAAGTCCGTGTGTGTGTGTAAGTCCGTGTGTGTGTGTAAGTTCATGTGTGTGTGTGTGTGAGAATCGCTATGTGTGTCAGTGTAAGTCCAAGTGTGTGTGTGTGTGTCAGTGTAAGTCCAAGTGTGTTTGTGTGTCGTAGTCCATGGGTGTGTGAGTGAGTCGCTGTGTGTGTCAGTGTAAGTCCAAGTGTGTGTCTGTGTGTCGTAGTCCATGGGTGTGTGTGAGTCGGTGTGTGTGTGTAAGTCCATGTGTGTGTGTGTGTGTGAGTCGCTGTGTGTGGCAGTGTAAGTCTAAGTGTGTGTGTGTTATAGTCTAAGTGTGTGTGTGTGTGAGTCGCTGTGTGTGACAGTGTAAGTCCATGCGTGTGTGTGTAAGTCCAAGTGTGTGTGTGTGTCGTAGTCCATGGGTGTGTGTGAGTCGCTGTGTGTGTGTAAGTCCATGTGTGTGTGTGTGTGAGAGTCGCTGTGTGTGGCAGTGTAAGTCTAAGTGTGTGTGTGTTATAGTCTAAGTGTGTGTGTGTGTGAGTCGCTGTGTGTGACAGTGTAAGTCCATGTGTGTGTGTGTAAGTCGAAGTGTGTGTGTGTGTGTTATAGTCTAAGTGTGTGTGTGAGTCGCTGTGTGTGTGTAAGTCCAAGTGTGTGTGTGTTATAGACCATGTGTGTGTGTGTGTGTCGCTGTATGTGTAAGTCCATAGTCCAAGTGTGTGTGTGTTATAGTCAAATTGTGTGTGTGAGTCACTGTGTGTTTGAGGAGCTCACAAATCCTTGAAAGATCTGGGCAAAGTCCCATCGGTGAGCTCCTCCGGCAGGCAAGGCTGCGTTGGCTGGGTCATGTAGCCCGCATGCCCAGCCACCGCATGCCTAAACAGCTTTTGTTCGGGCCGGATCGAGGGGGCTAGACGGGCGCGGCACGGGCTAGAGAAGAGATGGAGTGACTTGGTACAGGAGCTAACTGGTAAGGGTTGTCACGTAAACAGAACGTGGCCAATTCGTCACTAGGACAGCACTCGTGTAAAGTAGTGTATAGTGTAGTGTATAGTGTAGTGTATAGTGTAGTGTATAGTAGTGTATAGTGTAGTGTATAGTGTAGTGTGTAGTGTAGTGTATAGTAGTGTATAGTGTAGTGTATAGTGTAGTGTGTAGTGTAGTGTATAGTAGTGTATAGTGTAGTGTATAGTGTAGTGTATAGTGTAGTGTATAGTAGTGTATAGTGTAGTGTATAGTGTAGTGTGTAGTGTAGTGTATAGTAGTGTATAGTGTAGTGTATAGTGTAGTGTATAGTGTAGTGTATAGTAGTGGTCTAGTGTAGTGTATAGTGAGTGTGTAGTGTAGTGTATAGTAGTGTATAGGTTAGTGTAGTTTGTAGTGTGTAGTGTAGTGTATAGTAGTGTATAGTGTAGTGTATAGTGTAGTGTGTAGTAGTGTATAGTGTGGTGTATAGTGTAGTGTATAGTAGGTATAGTGTAGTGTATAGTAGTGTATAGTGTAGTGTATAGTAGTATGTGTAGTAGTGTATAGTGTAGTGTATAGTGTAGTGTATAGTAGTGTATAGTGTAGTGTATAGTGTAGTGTGTAGTAGTGTATAGTGTAGTGTATAGTAGTGTATAGTGTGGTGTATAGTGTAGTGTGTAGTAGTGTATAGTGTAGTGTATAGTAGTGTATGTGTAGGTATAGTGTAGTGTGTAGTAGTGTATAGTGTAGTGTATAGTAGTGTATAGTTGTAGTGATAGTGTAGTGTGTAGTAGTGTATAGTGTAGTGTATAGTAGTGTATAGTGTGGTGTATAGTGTAGTGTGTAGTAGTGTATAGTGTAGTGTATAGTAGTGTATAGTGTAGTGTATAGTGTAGTGTGTAGTAGTGTATAGTGTAGTGTATAGTAGTGTATAGTGTAGTGTATAGTGTAGTGTGTAGTAGTGTATAGTGTAGTGTATAGTGTAGTGTATAGTGTAGTGTGTAGTAGTGTATAGTGTAGTGTATAGTGTAGTGTATAGTAGTGTATAGTGTAGTGTATAGTGTAGTGTATAGTAGTGTATAGTGTAGTGTATAGTGTAGTGTGTAGTGTAGTGTATAGTAGTGTATAGTGTAGTGTATAGTGTAGTGTATAGTAGTGTATAGTGTAGTGTATAGTGTAGTGTATAGTAGTGTATAGTGTAGTGTATAGTAGTGTATAGTGGTAGTGTATAGTGTAGTGTATATAGTGTATAGTGTAGTGTATAGTGTAGTGTGTAGTGTAGGTATAGTAGTGTATAGTGTAGTGTATAGTGTAGGTATCGTAGTGTATAGTGTAAGTGTTGTATAGTGTAGTGTATAGTAGTGTAGTGTAGTGTATGTGTAGTGTTATAGTAGTGTATAGTGTAGTGTATAGTGTAGTGTATAGGTAGTGTATAGTAGTGTATAGTGTGTTATAGTGTAGTGTATAGTAGTGTATAGTGTAGTGTATAGTGTATGTAGTAGTGTATAGTGTAGTGTTATCGTGTAGTGTAGGTAGTGTAGTGTATAGTGTAGTGTATAGTGTAGTGTATAGTGTAGTGTATAGTAGTGTATAGTAGTGATAGTAGTGTATAGGTAGGTATAGTGTAGTGTATAGTAGTGTATGAGTTGTAGCGTATAGTGTAGTGTATAGTAGTGTATAGGTAGTGTATAGTGTAGTGTATAGTAGTGTATAATGTAGTGTATAGTGTAGTGTGTAGTGTAGTGTATAGTAGGTATAGTGTAGTGTATAGTGTAGTGTATAGTAGTGTATAGTGTAGTGTATAGTGTAGTTGTACTAGTAGTGTATAGTGTAGTGTATAGTGTAGTGTGTAGTGTAGTGTATGTAGTGTAGGGTAGTGTAGTGTATCAGGTAGTGTAGCAGGTAGTGTAGTGTATAGTGTAGTGTATAGTAGTGTATAGTGTAGTGTATAGTGTAGTGTGTAGTGTAGTGTATAGTAGTGTATAGTGTAGTGTATAGTGTAGTGTATAGTAGTGTATAGTGTAGTGTATAGTGTAGTGTGTAGTAGTGTATAGTGTAGTGTATAGTGTTGTAGTGTATAGTGTAGTGTATATTGTAGTGTGTAGTAGTGTATAGTGTAGTGTATAGTGTAGTGTATAGTGTAGTGTATAGTAGTGTATAGTAGTGTATAGTGTAGTGTATAGTGTAGTGTATAGTAGTGTATAGTGTAGAGTATAGTGTAGTGTATAGTAGTGTATAGTGTAGTGTATAGTGTAGTGTATAGTAGTGTATAGTGTAGTGTATAGTGTAGTGTGTAGTGTAGTGTATAGTAGTGTATAGTGTAGTGTATAGTGTAGTGTATAGTAGTGTATAGTGTAGTGTATAGTGTAGTGTATAGTAGTGTATAGTGTAGTGTATAGTAGTGTATAGTGTAGTGTATAGTGTAGTGTATAGTAGTGTATAGTGTAGTGTATAGTGTAGTGTGTAGTGTAGTGTATAGTAGTGTATAGTGTAGTGTATAGTGTAGTGTATAGTAGTGTATAGTGTAGTGTATAGTGTAGTGTGTAGTAGTGTATAGTGTAGTGTATAGTGTATAGTGTAGTGTATATTGTAGTGTGTAGTAGTGTATAGTGTAGTGTATAGTGTAGTGTATAGTAGTGTATAGTGTAGTGTATAGTAGTGTATAGTGTAGTGTATAGTGTAGTGTATAGTGTAGTGTATAGTAGTGTATAGTGTAGTGTATAGTGTAGTATAGTGTAGAGTGTAGTGTATAGTGTAGTGTATAGTGTAGTATACTAGTACAGCACTAGTGTAGTGTATAGTAGTGTAGTGTATAATGTAGTGTACTAGTACAGCACTAGTGTATAGTAGTGTATAGTATAGTGTAGTATACTAGTACAGCACTAGTGTGTAGTGTATAGTGTAGTGCATAGTAGTGTATAGTGTAGTGTACTAGTACAGCACTAGTGTAGTGTGTAGTGTATAGTGTAGTGTATAGTATAGTGTATAATGTAGTGTATAGTAGTGTAGTGTATAGTAGTGTATAGTGTAGTGTATAGTAATGTAGTGTATAGTAGTGTGTAGTGTAGTGTATAGTGTAGTGTATAGTAGTGTATAGTGTAGTGTATAGTGTAGTATACTAGTACAGCACTAGTGTATAGTGTAGTGTATAGTAGTGTAGTGTATAGTGTAGTGTATAGCAGTGTATAATGTAGTGTATAGTAGTGTAGTGTATAATGTAGTGTAGTGTATAGTGTAGTGTATAGTGTAGTATACTAATACAGCACTAGTGTAGTGTATAATGTAGTGTATAGTGTAGTGTATAGTAGTGTAGTGTAGTGTATAGTGTAGTGTATAGTGTAGTGTATAGTGTAGTGTATAGTGTAGTGTATAGTAGTGTATAGTAGTGTGTAGTGTAGTGTATAGTGTAGTGTATAGTAGTGTATAGTGTAGTGTATAGTGTAGTATACTAGTACAGCACTAGTGTATAGTGTAGTGTATAGCAGTGTAGTGTATAGTGTAGTGTATAGCAGTGTATAGTGTAGTGTATAGTAGTGTAGTATATAGTGTAGTATACTAGTACAGCACACCGGTGTGTCGGAGAGCCAAGCCACAACATTTACAATCTGAGTACGACGTTTTGCCAGTAATTACAACCAGCTTCACCAGGCGACAGCCAGATTTGTGGAGAAGTCTTTAACTGTTTCTTCTTCTTGGTTCTTTCGGTAAAGTCACGTAGAAGGGAAATAATAAAATGATAAAAATAAAACATAATAAAATACAATTCTCACGACGTTTCGGCCACAACGCAAGCAGCCGTCCTCAGGTGAAGAACAGGTCTGTCGGAAAGACAGCGTCTGAATGTTTTGTTGTCTTTCCGACAGACCTGTTCTTCACCTGAGGACGGCTGCTTGCGTTGTGGCCGAAACGTCGTGAGAATTATTTTATTATGTTTAATTTTTATTATTTTATTATTTCCCTTCTACGTGATGACTTTACCGAAAGAACCAAGAAGATGAATCCCTGCAGTCACGAAAGAAGCTTTAAATCGAAATTTTATAATGTTTCATTTTTATTATTTTATTATTTCCCTTCTACGTGATGACTTTACCGAAAGAGCCAATAAGATGAATCCCTGCAGTCACGAAAGAAGCTTTAAATCGAAATTTAAGTCTTTAACTGTATCGTTCCTTGTATAGCGTCGTAGATGTGTTGACCACGCTTCTGTGCTCTTACACAATGTGTGTGGGGGAGAGGATTACTGAGGAAACGTGCATCATGCATTTGCATTACGCGAGCCCTTTGAACGTGTCCTTCCTGTCTATTGTGTTGATGAAAATATCCCTACCAACGGTTCGTTCCTGTTCAAGTACGCTGCCCTTTGTAGGCATGCATTTCAATCACCTATATCGGTAGGACCTCAAATTTAGAAAGCTTTTGGAGAACTTTCGATTGAAAGCTTCTTTCGTGACTGCAGGGATTCATCTTCTTGGTTTTTTCGGTAAAGTCATCACGTAGAAGGGAAATAATAAAATATAAAAATAAAACTTCATAAAATAATCTTCTTGGTTCTTTCGGTAAAGTCACCACGTAGAATGGAAATAATAAAATAATAAAAATAAAACTTCATAAAATAATCTTCTTGGTTCTTTCGGTAAAGTCACCACGTAGAATGGAAATAATAAAATATAAAAATAAAACTTCATAAAATAATCTTCTTGGTTCTTTCGGTAAAGTCACCACGTAGAATGGAAATAATAAAATAATAAAAATAAAACTTCATAAAATAATCTTCTTGGTTCTTTCGGTAAAGTCACCACGTAGAATAGAAATAATAAAATAATAATAATAAAACATTATAAAATTATTCTCACGACGTTTCGGCCACAACGCCGTCCTCAGGTGAAGAACAGGTCTGTCTTCAGACGCTGTCTTTCCGACAGACCTGTTCTTCACCTGAGGACCTGTTCTCCACCTGAGAACTGCTGCTTGCGTTGTGGCCGAAACGTCGTGAGAATTATTTTATTTATCGATTTAAAGCTTTCGTGACTGCAGGGATTCATCTTCTTGGTTCTTTCGGTAAAGTCACGTAGAAGGGAAGTAATAAAATAATAAAAATAAAACAATAAAATAATTCTCACGACGTTTCGGCCACAACGCAAGCAGCCGTCCAAGTGTAGTGTATAGTGTAGTATACTAGTACAGCACTAGTGTAGTGTGTAGTGTATAGTGTAGTGTATAGTGTAGTGTATAGTGTAGTGTATAGTGTAGTGTGTAGTGTACTAGTACAGCACTAGTGTATAGTGTAGTGTACTAGTACAGCACTAGTGTATAGTGTAGTGTGTAGTGTAGTGTACTAGTACAGCACTAGTGTATAGTGTAGTGTATAGTGTAGTGTACTAGTACAGCACTAGTGTATAGTGTAGTGTATAGTGTAGTATACTAGTACAGCACTAGTGTATAGTGTAGTGTATAGTGTAGTTTACTAGTACAGCACTACAGACCTGTTCTCCACCTGAGGACGGCTGCTTGCGTTGTGGCCGAAACGTCGTGACAATTATTTTATTATGTTTTATTTTTATTATTTTATTATTTCCATTCTACGTGATGACTTTACCGAAAGAACCAAGAAGATGACTTTTGGAGAACGTTAATCAACCAGGTGGGGTGTTGACTGTGTTGTTGGCCGACTCTGTGTGTCGTAGTGCCTAATATTTCTAATATAACTATGTTTGTTTTCTCATTCATTTCTATCTGATGATGATTGTGACTCATGCAGCCAGCTATGGCTGCAGGGTTTTGCCAGTACATGTTGTTCATAATCAACGTTTTTGGGTTTAAATCACGTTATTTATAAATGTTCATATTTTTAGGTTTTTTCCGGTAAAGTCACCAGGTAGGTAAAACATTAAAATTAATAAAAGTAAAATAAAATAAAAATCACGACGTTTCGGAGGCAACACAAGCTTCCGTCTTCAGGTGGAACCGTCACAGCCACGACAGCTGTATAAATGTGTCGTAACCCTCCACCACCCGACACGGCCAATCAGTAAAAAAAGTGTCACGTTGACAAAAGTCAAAATAGTTCGCTGCTTTAGCCCACCACCGGTGTGTTGTTGAAGCGTGAAACCACAACATTTACAATTTGAGTTGTACGACGAATTGCCCGATGATGCTGGATGCAATTACCAGCGTAGAGAAGGGAGGGAATGACTGTGGCCGATAGACACACAAACTAAAGTCCTCCCCGGGGCGATGGTTTCGAGGTTTCCCCGCTGCCCTGGAGGGCGGTGACCTCACACCGCCGTTCGCCCATAAAAAGGGGCGACGACTCTAAAGCAGCCGCATCACTCCGTCTGACACCTCCAGGAGACCTTCAGACCACTCCAGGACCACTCCAGGACCACTCCAGGACCACTCCAGGAGACCTCCAGGACACCTCCAGGAGACCTTCAGGAGACCTCTTCAGGACCACTCCAGGAGACCTTCAGGAGACCTTCAGGAGACCACTTCAGAACCACTCCAGGACCACTCCAGGAGACCTCCAGGAGACTTTCAGGAGACCTCTTCAGAACCACTCCAGGAGACCTCCAGGAGACCTCCAGGAGACCTTCAGGAGACCTCCAGAACCACTCCAGGAGACCTCCAGGAGACCTCCAGGAGACCACTTCAGGACCACTCCAGGAGACCTCCAGGAGACCTTCAGGAGACCTCCAGAACCACTTCAGGAGACCTCCAGGACACCGCCGCTCCCCGCTGCATCCTCTCTCCGTGTCCACAATGGCTCAGAGCGTCGTGCCCCTGGTGCTCGTCTTGCTGGCCGGCTCGCTGGCTCTCAGCAACGCGAACGTGAGTCCTGGACCCCATGGGAGTGAGCCTTAGTCTGGCTCTGTGGGTCTCGGTGATTGACACTGAACCCTATGGGAGTGAGCCTTAGTCTGTCTCTGTGAGTCTCGGTGATTGACACTGAACCCCATGGGAGTGAGCCTTAGTCTGGCTCTGTGAGTCTCGGTGATTGACACTGAACCCTATGGGAGGGAGCCTTAGTCTGGCTCTGTGAGTCTCGGTGATTGACACTGAACCCTATGGGAGGGAGCCTTAGTCTGGCTCTGTGAGTCTCGGTGATTCACACTGAACCCTATGGGAGGGAGCCTTAGTCTGGCTCTGTGAGTCTCGGTGATTGACACTGAACCCTATGGGAGAGAGCCTTAGTCTGGCTCTGTGAGTCTCGGTGATTGACACTGAACTCTATGGGAGAGAGCCTTAGTCTGGCTCTGTGAGTCTCGGTGATTGACACTGAACCCTATGGGAGTGAGCCTTAGTCTGTCTCTGTGAGTCTCGGTGATTGACACTGAACCCCATGGGAGTGAGCCTTAGTCTGGCTCTGTGAGTCTCGGTGATTGACACTGAACCCTATGGGAGGGAGCCTTAGTCTGGCTCTGTGAGTCTCGGTGATTGACACTGAACCCTATGGGAGGGAGCCTTAGTCTGGCTCTGTGAGTCTCGGTGATTGACACTGAACCCTATGGGAGGGAGCCTTAGTCTGGCTCTGTGAGTCTCGGTGATTGACACTGAACCCTATGGGAGAGAGCCTTAGTCTGGCTCTGTGAGTCTCGGTGATTGACACTGAACTCTATGGGAGAGAGCCTTAGTCTGGCTCTGTGAGTCTCGGTGATTGACACTGAACCCTATGGGAGAGAGCCTTAGTCTGGCTCTGTGAGTCTCGGTGATTGACACTGAACCCTATGGGAGGGAGCCTTAGTCTGGCTCTGTGAGTCTCGGTGATTGACACTAAACCCTATGGGAGAGAGCCTTAGTCTGGCTCTGTGAGTCTCGGTGATTGACACTGAACTCTATGGGAGAGAGCCTTAGTCTGGCTCTGTGAGTCTCGGTGATTGACACTGAACCCTATGGGAGAGAGCCTTAGTCTGGCTCTGTGAGTCTCGGTGATTGACACTGAACCCTATGGGAGGGAGCCTTAGTCTGGCTCTGTGAGTCTCGGTGATTGACACTGAACCCTATGGGAGGGAGCCTTAGTCTGGCTCTGTGAGTCTCGGTGATTGACACTGAACCCTATGGGAGGGAGCCTTAGTCTGGCTCTGTGAGTCTCAGTGATTGACACTGAACCCCATGGGAGTGAGCCTTAGTCTGGCTCTGTGAGTCTCGGTGATTGACACTGAACTCTATGGGAGTGAGCCTTAGTCTGGCTCTGTGAGTCTCGGTGATTGACACTGAACCCTATGGGAGTGAGCCTTAGTCTGGCTCTGTGAGTCTCGGTGATTGACACAGAACCCTATGGGAGGGAGCCTTAGTCTGGCTCTGTGAGTCTCGGTGATTGACACTGAACCCTATGGGAGTGAGCCTTAGTCTGGCTCTGTGAGTCTCGGTGATTGACACTGAACCCTATGGGAGGGAGCCTTAGTCTGGCTCTGTGAGTCTCAGTGATTGACACTGAACCCCATGGGAGTGAGCCTTAGTCTGGCTCTGTGAGTCTCGGTGATTGACACTAAACCCTATGGGAGTGAGCCTTAGTCTGGCTCTGTGAGTCTCGGTGATTGACACTGAACCCCATGGGAGTGAGCCTTAGTCTGGCTCTGTGAGTCTCGGTGATTGACACTAAACCCTATGGGAGGGAGCCTTAGTCTGTCTCTGTGAGTCTCGGTGATTGACACTGAACCCTATGGGAGTGAGCCTTAGTCTGGCTCTGTGAGTCTCGGTGATTGACACTGAACCCCATGGGAGTGAGCCTTAGTCTGGCTCTGTGAGTCTCGGTGATTGACACTGAACCCCATGGGAGTGAGCCTTAGTCTGGCTCTGTGAGTCTCGGTGATTGACACTAAACCCTATGGGAGGGAGCCTTAGTCTGTCTCTATGAGTCTCGGTGATTGACACTAAACCCTATGGGAGGGAGCCTTAGTCTGTCTCTGTGAGTCTCGGTGATTGACACTGAACCACGTTTGGTGTTTGTGGGGCACGTTAAAAGTCGACATGTGGGGGGTCATACCCTTTCAACTGGTACAAAACTGACACCTTTATACAAGGCATCATGTTTGCATTAACCACAACACAAGCAGTCAAAACGCACCTGGGGGGGGGGGGGGTCAGACATTTGTGACGATGTGTGACGAGGGGGGGGGGGTTGAGAAATGTGACGTCAAATCAAAATGCGAAAATTAAAATAAATATAGAATTGTTAGAACAACATTCCTACAACAACAGAGTGCAGCGCCGCATTAAATACGCACTACAATGACAATAGTTTAAAGCGATTTGAAGCATGTTTTATTTTCAAAATGTAAATATGGTTTGGGGGGGGGGGGGTTAAAAATCGTCCCAAATCACGTGACGTAATTTATGGACAGCCCCTTACACAGATGAAGGTCTCTATGTTAATAGGTTTTGTTGACATGTGACGATAACGATGATGTTTTGAGTTCCTCTCCCATCGTGTGCTCATTCTTTTCTTTGTTTACATTTTACAGGGAAGAGGATATAACAACGGTAAGAGTTTTACTCCTCTGATACAGACTACTCACACAGTAGAGACCCACAGACTACTCGCACAGAGACCCACAGACTACTCACACAGCAGAGACCCACAGACTACTCACACAGTAGAGACCCACAGACTACTCACACAGCAGAGACCCACAGACTACTCACACAGCAGAGACCCACAGACTACTCACACAGCAGAGACCCACAGACTACTCACACAGCAGAGACCCACAGACTACTCACACAGTAGAGACCCACAGACTACTCACACAGTAGAGACCCACAGACTACTCACACAAAGACCCACAGACTACTCACACAGCAGAGACCCACAGACTACTCACACAGTAGAGACCCACAGACTACTCACACAGTAGAGACCCACAGACTACTCACACAGTAGAGACCCACAGACTGCTTACACAGCAGAAACCCACAGACTACTTACACAGTAGAGACCCACAGACTACTCACACAGTAGAGACCCACAGACTACTCACACACACACACAGACCCACAGACTACTCACACAGTAGAGACACACAGACTACTCACACAGAGAGAACCACAGACTACTCGCACAGCAGAGACCCATAGACTACTCACACAGTAGAGACCCACAGACTACTCACATAGAGACCCACAGACTACTCACACAGATACCCATAGACTCATCACACAGAGACCCATAGACTCATCACACAGAGACCCATAGACTCATCACACAGAGACCCATAGACTCATCACACAGAGACCCATAGATTCATCACACAGAGACCCACATACTCATCACACAGAGACCCATAGACTCATCACACAGAGACCAATAGACTCATCACACATAGAACCATAGACTCATTACACAGAGACCCATAGACTCATCACACAGCAGAGACCCATAGACTCATCACACAGCAGAGACCCACAGACTCATCACACAGCAGAGACCCACAGACTCATCACACAGCAGAGAGCCACAGACTCATCACACAGCAGAGACCCATAGACTCATCACACAGCAGAGAGCCACAGACTCATCACACAGCAGAGACCCATAGACTCATCACACAGCAGAGACCCACAGACTCATCACACAGCAGAGACCCACAGACTCATCACACAGCAGAGAGTCATAGACTCATCACACAGCAGAGACCCACAGACTCATCACACAGCAGAGAGCCATAGACTCATCACACAGCAGAGAGCCATAGACTCATCACACAGCAGAGAGCCATAGACTCATCACACAGCAGAGACCCATAGACTCATCACACAGCAGAGACCCATAGACTACTCTCACAGCAGAGACCCATAGACTCATCACACAGCAGAGACCCATAGACTCACCACACAGAGACCCACAGACTCATCACAAAGCAGAGACCCATAGACTCATCACACAGCAGAGAACCATAGACTCATCACACAGCAGAGACCCACAGACTCATCACACAGCAGAGACCCATAGACTCATCACACAGCAGAGAGCCATAGACTCATCACACAGCAGAGAGCCATAGACTCATCACACAGCAGAGACCCACAGACTCATCACACAGCAGAGACCCATAGACTCATCACACAGCAGAGACCCATAGACTACTCACACAGCAGAGACCCATAGACTCATCACACAGCAGAGACCCATAGACTCACCACACAGAGACCCACAGACTCATCACAAAGCAGAGACCCATAGACTCATCACACAGCAGAGAGCCATAGACTCATCACACAGCAGAGACCCATAGACTCATCACACAGCAGAGACCCATAGACTACTCACACAGCAGAGACCCATAGACTCATCACACAGCAGAGACCCATAGACTCACCACACAGAGACCCACAGACTCATCACAAAGCAGAGACCCATAGACTCATCACACAGCAGAGAACCATAGACTCATCACACAGCAGAGACCCACAGACTCATCACACAGCAGAGACCCATAGACTCATCACACAGCAGAGAGCCACAGACTCATCACACAGCAGAGACCCATAGACTCATCACACAGCAGAGAGTCATAGACTCATCACACAGCAGAGACCCATAGACTCATCACACAGCAGAGAGTCATAGACTCATCACACAGCAGAGACCCACAGACTCATCACACAGCAGAGACCCATAGACTCATCACACAGCAGAGAGCCACAGATTCATCACACAGCAGAGACCCATAGACTCATCACACAGCAGAGAGTCATAGACTCATCACACAGCAGAGACCCACAGACTCACCACAGAGACCTGATAACATCTCTACCGTGTCCTGCAACGTTTGACCCACCCAGTATTCTGCCAGGACAAGGCTGATGGGCTGTACGCAGACACCTCAGACTCCCACAGCTTCTACCACTGCTCCAATTCCCTGACGTACCACAAGCAATGTCCAGCCAACCTGGTGTTCAACCCGGCCAAAAACAGATGTGACTGGGACGGTACGTATCGCACATTCACCCCATCCACTCACTCAACCGCTCACTCATTCACCCACTCACTCATTCACCCACTCACTCATTCACCCACCCACTCATTCACCCACTCACTCATTCACCCACCCACTCATTCACCCACTCACTCATTCACCTACTCACTCATTCACCCACTCACTCACTCATTCACCCACCCACTCACTCATTCACCCACTCACTCATTCACCCACCCACTCATTCACCCACTCACTCATTCACCCACTCACTCACTCATTCACCCACCCACTCACTCATTCACCCACTCACTCATTCACCCACTCACGCATTCACCCACTCACTCATTCACCCACTCACTCATTCACCCACTCACTCACTCATTCACCCACCCACTCACTCATTCACCCACTCACTCATTCACCCACTCACTCACTCACCCACTCACTCACTCACCCACTCACTCATTCACCCACTCACTCATTCACCCACCCACTCATTCATATCCTCACTTGTACACCTATTCAACAACAACAACCGCCTGCACAAGCGTCGTGGTGGCGGTGACGAGATAATGACGCTCGACTGATTTGGAGTGAGACCTCTGCTGTCACACCAGAGCCGGTCATGAGCACACTGCCCAGGTATGGGAAACTCTCCACTCTCTCCTCAACTGCCCCATCACCAATTGGGAGTTGTGGGGGTGGAGTGTCCGATGGTACAAAACACCCAGGCTAGGTGCTTAGTTTTGGTAGGGCTGATGGTAAGGCCCCACCTCTTAGTGGCACGCTCCAGGTTCAGCAACAGCACCTCCAACTCCTCCTCTGAGTGAGCAGCTATTACCAGATCATCGGCATACATAACGTGGTTGAGCAATAGGGAGCGATCCCTTGACTGCACCCGGGCATCGATTAGGCTCCCATTGTATCTGTACCAGATGAAAATTCCTTCGGTACAGCTACTGAAGGTTTCACGAACTACGGGGTCGAAATAGATGTTAAATCATGTGGGAGCCAGAGGACATCCCTGTCGCACCCCAAGGTCAACAGGGATTGGCTCTGACTCCTAGCCACGTAGTTTTACCCGGGTCCACTCACCATCATGAAGGTCTTTAATGATCGTGAGCAATGAGTCAGGGACACCGAAAGCACGAAGAACAACCCAGAGCCCAGGCCTACTGATGGTATCATAGGCCTTTACCAGGTCAAAAAAGCAGAGATGTAGGTCTTGTTGGAATTCCCTACACCTCTGCTGTTGCAGACAGACTGAAAATATGGCATCTGTGCAGAACCGCCTTTTCCTGAAACCGCATTGGGGCTCCGCAAGCCTCTCCTCAGCGTGCCTGGCAAGGCGATGTTGAATAATCCTTGCCAGGACCTTTCCCGGCACACTGAGGAGTGAAATTCCCTTGTAGTTGTTACAGTCTGTGCGGTCCCCCTTCTTAAAAAGGGGGACCACCAGGGCATCCTTCCAATCCTGCGGAACCCGACCAGTGGTCCAGACTGTTGTTATGATATCATATAGGGCAGTCTGTGCACAAAAGACACCCTCCCTCAGAATTTTGCTTGGGAGATCATTTCTGCCCGGTGCCTATCTCAGTCTCAGACTCTGGATCGCATTCAGTACTTCCTCAACTGATGGCACCTCAGCCAGCCACTCACAGGGGGTGACTTCTTCCAATATTTGAGCCACCACAGCCTCAGCAGGGTCATCCCCACTTAGTCCCACGATGTTTTATAGGCTGAGGGATTTCCCCTCCTCAAGGACCTCACAAAAATGCTCAGCAAATCTGCAATCGGTGTGGTACTGCAAGTTACTTTTTTTTTGGTAGTTAATTGAAGGTGTATGGGTTACCAACCCCTCGCATATGTCCAGAGCCCCCATTTAGCCGCTGTGGTGGTCACAACCGCCATGAGGGGAAAGGCCAATCGGAATTGGCCCTCCCCCCTCAGCACTGTACACGACAGCGTTGCCCGTCCAGCACCACGAAGAGGAAGGGGGTTGTTTTACACAGACTCATCACACAGAGACCCACAGACTCACCACACAGAGACCCACAGACTCATCACACAGAGACCCACAGACTCACCACACAGAGACCCACAGACTCATCACACAGAGACCCACAGACTCACCACACAGAGACCCACAGATTCATCACACAGAGACCCACAGACTCACCACACAGAGACCCACAGACTCACACAGAGACCCACAGACTCATCACACAGAGACCCACAGACTCATCACACAGAGACCCACAGACTCACCACACAGAGACCCACAGACTCACACAGAGACCCACAGACTCATCACACAGAGACCCACAGACCCATCACCAAGAGACCCACAGAGTAATCACAATAAGACCCATAGACTCATCACACAGAGACCCGTAGACTCATCACACAGAGACCCGTAGACTCATCACACAGAGACCCGAAGACTCATCACACAGAGACCCACAGACTCATCACACAGAGACCCACAGATTCATTACACAGAGACCCATAGACTCATCACACAGAGACCCGTAGACTCATCACACAGAGACCCGTAGACTCATCACACAGAGACCCACAGACTCATCACACAGAGACCCACAGATTCATCACACAGAGACCCACAGACTCATCACACAGAGACCCGAAGACTCATCACACAGAGACCCGCTAACAGCTCCACCTTTGTCTCCTGCAGTGGGGAACTCAGCATTCTGCCAGGACAAGGCTGATGGGCTGTACCCAGACCCCTTAGACTCCCACAGCTTCTTCCAATGCTCCAATTCCCTGACGTACCACAAGCAATGCCCAGCCAACTTGGTGTTCAACCCGGCCATCAGCGTGTGCGACTGGCCTGGTACATATGGCACATTCACCCCATCCACTAACTCACCCATTCACTCATTCACCTACCCACTCGCACGCTCATTCACCCACCCACAGACAACTCACACCGAGACCCATAGACTCACATAGGAACCCAATGACTCATCACCCAGAGACGCATATACTACTCATTTGAGACCCATAGACTCATCACATAGAGATCCATAGACTACTCATTTGAGACCCATAGACTCATCACACAGAGATCCATATACTACTCATTTGAGACCCATAGACTCATCACATAGAGATCCATAGACTACTCATTTGAGACCCATAGACTCATCACACAGAGATCCATATACTACTCATTTGAGACCCATAGACTCATCACATAGAGATCCATAGACTACTCATTTGAGACCCATAGACTCATCACACAGAGATCCATAGACTACTCATTTGAGACCCATAGACTCATCACACAGAGATCCATAGACTACTAATTTGAGACCCATAGACTCATCACACAGAGATCCATAGACTACTTGTCTCGGCCTCGCTGTGCGCTGCGTTTTGCACCGCTAGCTGAGTAGTTAACCTCGCGTTCAATAAACCCTCAGAGCCAGGATGAACGTCCAACTCCAAACGTCATTTATTGAGTTTAACGAGGTAAAACTGGTGAGAAAACACAGATACAGCATTTGTTATAACCCAGAAACACCAACACAATGAATGAATACCACAGCATCATAACATTGTCTTAGATAACATATTTCTAAACAATAGACCCTGGACAGGGCAGGCCCCTACATTACCATTGAATAACTATACAAGAGCATAAGCTGCTGTGTTACATAAAGGCACATCGTGTTATCATCACACTGTACTCCAGATCTTCTTGGCTCTTTCGGTAAAGTCACGTAGAAGGGAAGTAATAAAATAATAAAAATAAAACAATAAAATATTTTATTGTGTTTTATTATTATTTTATTACTTCCCTTCTACGTGACTTTACCGAAAGAACCAAGAAGATGAATCCCTGCAGTCACGAAAGCTTTAAATCGAAATTTGCACTCTAGATGTACAGTATTACACATAACACTAAACTGTGGATGAGATATTTCGTCATCCTTGCTCTCAGGATCGCAATAAAGTTACTTGGGTACAAGTTTGACTCGACTTATTAAATTACAAGTAACATTCACAATAGGGAAAGTTGCAGGCTTCGTTGTTAACTAGGCCTCGTATTTATCATAACAATTTAACGGCATTATAAAGGCATGTACATCCTTATAACGGTCATTCTAACATTATAACAGCATTGCCAATATTATAAGAACATGAACGAACTTACAAACAATGCTTCTTAAGCTCCCACGATGGACAATTGCGGCTGGCTTCACTGGGACGCGATGTGTGCCGCCATCTTGAATTATGTGCCTAATGGCGGACGCCCGCGTGGTTAAGCGGGAATCTTAAATCGCAACTTCCTGGTCACGTGACGAAAACCAGCATCAAAAACAGGAAATGCCTGTGTACATACGCACCCCCCCCCCCCCCCCATCTGCCGTGAGGAAAAACTCCTGCCGAGAGGCAGAACACTACTCATTTGAGACCCATAGACTCAACACACAGAGACCCGAAGACTCATCACACAGAGACCCACAGACTCATCACACAGAGACCCACAGACTCATCACACAGAGACCCACAGACTCATCACACAGAGACCCACAGACTCATCACACAGAGACCCACAGACTCATCACACAGAGACCCACAGACTCATCACACAGAGACCCACAGACTCATCACACAAAGACCCACAGACTCACCACACAGAGACCCACAGACTCATCACACAGAGACCCACAGACTCATCACACAGAGACCCACAGACTCATCACACAGAGACCCACAGACTCACCACACAGAGACCCACAGACTCATCACGCAGAGACCCGCTAACAGCTCCACCTTTGTCTCCTGCAGTGGTGAACTCGGCTTTCTGCCAGGACAAGGCTGATGGGCTGTACCCAGACCCCGCAGACTCCCACAGCTTCTACCACTGCTCCAATTCCCTGATGTACCACAAGCAATGTCCAGCCAACCTGGTGTTCAACCCGGCCAAAAACATATGCGACTGGGATGGTAAGTATCACACATTCACCCCAACCACTCAATCACTCATTCACCCATTCACCCACTCACCCAAACATTCACGCAAATACACACACACTCAGTCACCAATTCACCTCGCCACCCGTTCACTAACCCACCCACTCACTCATTTGCCCACTCAGTCATTCACCCACCCACTTATTCACTCACTAATTCGCTCATTCACCCACTCGTTCACCCACCCATAGACTACTCACACAGTAGAGACCCACAGACGACTCACACACTGAGTCTGTGTCTGTGTCGTGTGTGCAGTTCCACACGACGACGCAACAACGACCACCCAGGCAACCACCAAGCCACGTAAGCTCTCAACTCGTGTCGTCTCGTGTCGTCTCGTGTCAACTCCACCTCCCCCCACACTCCCCTCCATCTCCATCGCACGCCTTGAAGATGGTGTCGTGGCCTCTGTAGAAGCCGGGAGGGTGATGGTGGTGATGGGGGTGGTGATAGTGGTGGTGATGGTGGTGATGGGGGTGGTGATGATGATCATCACCACTAACGACAACCGCCATTCGCCACTAGGTGGAGGTGACGTCACCACGACGCTTGTGCCAGGCCATGTGTACCTTGAGGCCAGGTGAAGTGTCGAACGCCCGCAGACAGGAGGTCAGAGCCGGTCCACCGGACCTCCTGAATACCACAGAGATCCAGGCGGTACTAATCCAGCTCTCGACAGAAGAGTGGCAGCCTCTCCTCCGCAGTGAGCGTTCGAAAATTCCACGTGGCCATCCGCAATGGTTTTTCGTTGTTTCTGGAGGAGCCCCAAGGGTAAAGATTCAATCTTCTGGCTCCGCCAAATGGGGTTTGGCCAGGAAACGTTATAGACGCCTGTCCCCCGGGGTCTCCGGCACAAGCTTGTTAAGTACATTTTTCGGTGGTAGTTTAGTGGAATTTAATTGAAGCTGGAGGGGTTACTAGCCCTTCGCACCTGTCCAGAGCCCCCATTTAGCCGCTGTGGTGGTCACAGATGCCGTGAGGGGAAAGGCCAATCGGAATTGGCCCTCCCCCCCTCAGCACTGTACACGACAGCGTTGCCCGTCCAGCACCACGAGGAGGTAGGGGTTTGTTTTACACACTCATCACGCAGAGACCCACAGACTCATCACACAGAGACCCACATACTCATCACACAGAGACCCACATACTCACCACACAGAGACCCACAGACTCATCACACAGAGACCCACAGACTCACCACACAGAGACCCACAGACTCACCACACAGAGACCCACAGACTCATCACATAGAGACCCACAGACTCATCACACAGAGACCCATAGACTCATCACCAAGAGACCCATAGACGACTCATTTGAGACCCACAGACTCATCACTCAGAGACACGCTAACAGCTCCACCTTTGTCTCCTGCAGTGGTGAACTCGGTATTCTGCCAGGACAAGGCTGATGGGCTGTACCCAGACCCCTTAGACTCCCACAGCTTCTACCACTGCTCCAATTCCCTGACGTACCACAAGCAATGTCCAGCCAACCTGGTGTTCAACCCAGCCATCAGCGTGTGCGACTGGCCCGGTACGTATGGCACATTCACCCCATCCACTCACTCACTCATTCACCCATTCACTTATTCACCCACACATGCATTCATTCACCCAATCATTCATTAATTCACCCACCCATTAATTTGCCTACCCTATCGCACGCTCATTCACCCATTCATTAACTCACTAATTTGCTCATTCACCCACTCGTTCACCCACCCACAGACTACTCACACAGTAGAGACCCACAGACTACTCACACAGTAGAGACCCACAGACTACTCACACACAGTAGAGACCCACAGACTACTCACACACAGAGACCCACAGACTACTCACACACAAAGACCCACAGACTACTCACACAGTAGAGACCCACAGACTACTCACACACAGAGACCCACAGACTACTCACACAGTAGAGACCCACAGACTACTCACACAGTAGAGACCCACAGACTACTCACACAGTAGAGACCCACAGACTACTCACACAGTGACCCACAGACTACTCACACAGTAGAGACCCACAGACTACTCACACAGTAGAGACCCACAGACTACTCACACAGTAGAGACCCACAGACTACTCACACACTGAGTCTGTGTCTGTGTCGTTTGTACCGTTGCAGGCAACGTCGCAGCAGCAACCACCCAGGCAACCACCAAGTCAGGTAAGCCCTCAACTCGTGACGTCACGTGTCGTCTCGTGACGTCACCACCCCCCCCCCCACACTTCCCTCCATCTCCATTGCACGCCTTGACGATGGTGTCGTGGCCTCTGTAGAAGACGGGAGGGTGATGGTGGTGATGGTGGTGATGGTGGTGGTGATGGTGGTGATGGGGGTGATGGTGGTGATGGGGGTGATGGGGGTGGTGATAGTGGTGGTGATGGAGGTGGTGATGGAGGTGATGGTGGTGATAGTGGTGGTGATGGAGGTGATGGTGGTGATGGTGGTGATGGGGTGGTGATAGTGGTGGTGATGGAGGTGATAGTGGTGATGGTGGTGATGGTGATGGGGGTGGTGATAGTGGTGGTGATGGTGGTGGTGATGATGATCATCACCACCAACGACAACCGCCATTCGCCACTAGGTGGCGGTGACGTCACCACGACGCTTGTGCTAGGCCATGTGTACCTTGAGGCCACGTGAAGTGTCGAACGCCCGCTGGCAAGAGGTCAGAGCCGGTCCACCGGGCCTCCTGAATACCACAGAGATCCAGGCAGTACTGGTCCAGCTCCTGACAGAGGAGTGGCAGCCTCTCCTCCGCAGTGAGCATTCGAAAATTCCACGTGGCCATCCGTAGTGGCTTTTTATTGTTTCTGGAGGAGCCCTGAGGGTGAAGATTCAATCTCCTGGCTCCGCCAAATGGGGTTTGGCCAGGAGATGTCATAGACGCCTGTCCCCCAGGGTCTCCGGCACAAGCTTGTTAAGTATATTTTTCGGTCGTAAAATTTAATTGAAGGTGGAGGGGTTACTAGCACCTCGCACCTGTCCAGAGCCCCCATTTAGCCGCTGTGGTGGTCACAGATGCCATGAGGAGAAAGGACAATCGGAATTGGCCCTCCCCCCCTCAGCACTGTACACGACAGCGTTGCCCGCCCGGTACCACGAGGAGGTAGGCGGTTGTTTTACGTAGACTCATCACACAGAGACCCACAGACTCATCACCAAGAGACACGCTAACAGCTCCACCTTTGTCTCCTGCAGTGGTGAACTCGGTATTCTGCCAGGACAAGGCTGATGGGCTGTACCCAGACCCCTCAGACTCCCACAGCTTCTACCACTGCTCCAATTCCCTGACGTACCACAAGCAATGCCCAGCCAACCTTGTGTTCAACCCGGCCATCAGCGTGTGCGACTGGCCCGGTACGTATGGCACATTCACCCCATCCACTCACTCACCCATTCACTCATTCACCTACCCACTCGCATGCTCATTCACCCATTCATTAACTCACTAATTCGCTCATTCACCCACTCGTTCACCCACCCATCGACTACTCACACAGTAGAGACCCACAGACTTCTCACACAGTGGAGACCCACAGACTACTCACACAGTAGAGACCCACAGACTACTCACACAGTAGAGACCCACAAACTACTCACACAGTAGAGACCCACAGACTACTCACACAGTAGAGACCCACAGACTACTCACACAGTAGAGACCCACAGACTACTCACACAGTAGAGACCCACAGACTACTCACACAGTAGAGACCCACAGACTACTCACACAGTAGAAACCCACAGACTACTCACACAGTAGAGACCCACAGACTACTCACACAGTAGAGACCCACAGACTACTCACACAGTAGAGACCCACAGACTACTCACACAGTAGAAACCCACAGACTACTCACACAGTAGAGACCCACAGACTACTCACACAGTAGAGACCCACAGACTACTCACACAGTAGAGACCCACAGACTACTCACACAGCAGAGACCCACAGACTACTCACACAGCAGAGACCCACAGACTACTCACACAGTAGAGACCCACAGACTACACACACAGTAGAGACCCACAGACTACTCACACAGTAGAAACCCACAGACTACTCACACAGTAGAGACCCATAAACTACTCACACAGTAGAGACCCACAGACTACTCACACAGTAGAGACCCACAGACTACTCACACAGTAGAAACCCACAGACTACTCACACAGTAGAGACCCATAAACTACTCACACAGTAGAGACCCACAGACTACTCACACAGTAGAGACCCACAGACTACTCACACAGAGAGACCCACAGACTACTCACACACTGAGTCTGTGTCGTTTGTGCCGTTGCAGGCAACGTCGCAGCAGCAACCACCCAGGCAACCACCAAGTCAAGTAAGCCCTCAACTCGTGACGTCACGTGTCGTCTCGTGACGTCACCACCACCCCCACACTCCCCTCCATCTCCATTGCACGCCTTGACGAGGGTGTCGTGGCCTCTGTAGAAGCCGGGAGGGTGATGGTGGTGATGGTGGTGATGGGGGTGATGGGGGTGGTGATGGTGGTGATGGGGGTGGTGGTGGGGGTGATGGAGGTGATGGTGGTGATGGTGGTGATGGTGGTGGTGGTGACGATGGTGGTGATGACGATGGTGGTGATGGAGGTGATGGTGGTGATAGTGGTGGTGATGGAGGTGATGGTGGTGATGGGGGTGGTGGGGGCGGTTATAGTGGTGGTGATGGTGGTGATGGTGGTGGTGATGATGGTGGAGGTGATGGTGGTAATGGGGGTGGGGGGGGGGTGATGGAGGTGATGGTGGTGATGGTGGTGATGGTGGTGACGATGGTGGTGATGGAGGTGATGGTGGTGATAGTGGTGGTGATGGAGGTGATGGTGGTGATGGTGGTGATGGTGACGATGGTGGTGATGATGACGATGGTGGTGGTGATGGGGGTGATGGGGGTGGTGATAGTGGTGGTGATGGTGATGGGGGTTGTGATAGTGGTGGTGATGGTGGTGATGGTGGTGATGGTGGTGATGGGGGTGATGGGGGTGGTGATAGTGGTGGTGATGGTGATGGGGGTTGTGATAGTGGTGATGGTGGTGATGGTGGTGATGGTGGTGATGGTGGTGATGGGGGTGATGGGGGTGGTGATAGTGGTGGTGATGGTGATGGGGGTTGTGTTAGTGGGGATGGTGGTGATGGTGGTGATGGTGGTGATGGGGGTGATGGTGGTGGTGGTGGTGATGATCATCGCCACCAACGATAACCGCCAATCGTCACTAGGTGGCTGTGACGTCACCACGACGCTTGTGCCAGGCCAAGTGCACCTTGAGGCCACGTGAAGTGTCGAACGCCCGCTGGCAAGAGGTCAGAGCCGGTCCACCGGACCTCCTGAATACCACAGAGATCCAGGCGGTACTAATCCAGCTCTCGACAGAAGAGTGGCAGCCTCTCCTCCGCAGTGAGCGTTCGAAAATTCCATGTGGCCATCCGTAGTGGCTTTTTATTGTTTCTGGAGGAGCCCCGAGGGTGAAGATTCAATCTCCTGGCTCCGCCAAATGGGGTTTGGCCAGGAGACGTGATAAACGCCTGTCCTCCCGGGGTCTCCGGCACAAGCTTGTTAAGTACATTTTTTGGTCGTAGTTTAGTGGTAGTTAATTGAAGGTGGAGGGGTTACCAGCCCCTCGCTCCTGTCCACAGCCCCCATTTAGCCGCTGTGGTGGTCACAGATGCCATGAGGGGAAAGGCCAATCGGAATTGGCCCTCCCCCCCTCAGCACTGTCCACGACAGCGTTGCCCGTCCGGCACCACGAGGAGGTAGAGGGTTGTTTTACGTAGACTCATCACACAGAGACCCACAGACTCATCACTCAGAGACCCATAGACTCATCACACAGAGACCCACAGACTCATCACCAAGAGACCCATAGACTCATCACTCAGAGACCCATAGACTCATCACACAGAGACCCACAGACTCATCACCAAGAGACCCATAGACGACTCATTTGAGACCCACAGACTCATCACACAGAGATCCATAGAGACCCGCTAACAGCTCCACCTTTGTCTCCTGCAGTGGTGAACTCGGTATTCTGCCAGGACAAGGCTGATGGGCTGTACCCAGACCCCTCAGACTCCCACAGCTTCTACCACTGCTCCAATTCCCTGACGTACCACAAGCAATGCCCAGCCAACCTGGTGTTCAACCCGGCCATCAGCGTGTGCGACTGGCCTGGTACGTATGGCACATTCACCCCATCCAATCACTCACCCACTCATTAATTCACCTCCCCACTCAAACTCTCATTCACCCACTCATTCATTCATTTACCCACTCATTCATTTATTCACCTACCCACTCGTGCGCTCCTTCATTCACTCACTTACTCATTCGTTCACCCACTCTTTCAATCACCCACTCATTCATTCATTCACCAACCCATTTGTGCTCATTGACCCACAAATTCATTCACCTACCCACTCGCACGCTCATTCACCCACCCACAGACAACTTACACAGAGACCCGTAGACTCCCATAGGGACCCAATGACTCATCACCCACAGACCCATAGACTACTCATTTGAGACCCATAGACTCATCAAAAAGAGGACAACATACTCATCGCACAGAGACCCATAAACTCATCACACAGAGAGCCATATACTCATCACACAGAGACCAATAGACTCACCACACAGAGACCCTCGTACTCATCACACAGAGACCCGTAGACTTATCACATAGAGACCCGTAGACTCATCACATAGAGACCCACAGACTCATCACACAGAGACCCGTAGACTCATCACACAGAGACCCACAGACTCATCACACAGAGACCCACAGACTCATCACACAGAGACCCACAGACTCATCACACAGAGACCCACAGACTCATCACATAGAGACCCACAGACTCATCACACAGAGACCCACAGACTCATCACACAGAGACCCACAGACTCATCACACAGAGACCCGTAGACTTATCACATAGAGACCCGTAGACTCATCACACAGAGACCAGTAGACTCATCACACAGAGACCCGTAGACTCATTCCACAGAGACCCACAGACTCATCACACAGAGACCCACAGACTCATCACAAAGAGACCCACGTACTCATCACACAGAGACCCACAGACTCATCACACAGAGACCCACAGACTCGTCACACAGAGACCCACAGACTCGTCACACAGAGACCCACAGACTCATCACACAGAGACCCACATACTCATCACACAGAGACCCATAGACTCATCACACAGAGACCCACAGACTCATCACACAGAGACCCACAGACTCACCACACAGAGACCCGCTAACAGCGCCACCTTTGTCTCCTGCAGTGGTGAACTCGGGATTCTGTCAGGACAAGGCTGATGGGCTGTACCCAGACCCCTCAGACTCCCACAGCTTCTATCACTGCTCCAATTCCCTGACGTACCACAAGCAATGCCCAGCCAACCTGGTGTTCAACCCGGCCATCAGCGTGTGCGACTGGCCCAGTACGTATGGCACATTCACCCCATCCACTCACTCACTCGTTCACCCATTCACCCAACCATTCACGCAAATATACACACACACAGTCACCAATTCACCTCGCCACCCGTTCACTAACCCACCCACTCACTCATTCACCCACCCATTCATTCACTCACTAATGCGCTCATTCACCCACTCGTTCACCCACCCATAGACTACTCACACAGTAGAGACCCACAGACTACTCACACAGTAGAGACCCACAGACTACTCACACAGTAGAGACCAACAGACTACTCACACACAGAGACCCACAGACTACTCACACAGAGAGACCCACAGACTACTCACACACTGAGTCTGTCTGTCGTTTGTGCCGTTGCAGGCAACGTCGCAACAACGACCACCCAGGCAACCACCAAGTCACGTAAGCCCTCAACTCGTGACGTCACGTGTCGTCACGTGACGTCACGTGTCGTCTCGTGACGTCACCACCACCCCTCCACACTCCCCTCCATCTCCATTGCACGCCTTGAGGAGGGTGTCGTGGCCTCTGTAGAAGCCGGGAGGGTGATGGTGGTGATGATGGTGATGGTGGTGATGGGGGTGATGGTGGTGATGGGTGTGATGGGGGTGGTGATAGCGGTGGTGGTGATGATGGTGGTGATGGTGATGGAGGTGATGGCGGTGATGGGGGTGGTGATAGTGGTGGTGGTGATGGTGGTGATGGGGGTGATGGGGGTGGTGATAGTGGTGGTGGTGATGATCATCGCCACCAACGACAACCGCCTTTCGCCACTAGGTGGCGGTGACGTCACCACGACGCTTGTGCAAGGCCATGTGTACCTTGAGGCCACGTGAAGTGTCGAACGCCCGCTCGCAGGAGGTCACGGGGCATACCCAGGTGGCACGGGTCGACTGATTGAGATGACCGAGACGACTGGCTGATGCACCACCTGTGCCCCCTACTGTGCCAAATTGCTGTGTTTTAGCCACCCGGCGCTCCGCTCACTGTTGTGAGAGTCGCTCCTCCGCCCTCCATTGTTGTTGGAGGGCGACTGCCTCCAACTGTCCAGTAGCGTCCTTCACGAGCCTCCTCCACAGAGGCCGATCTTGACACCGCTGGTACCAGTCATCGGCAAGTCCACTCAGCTCCCCGTCCTCCTGTTCCACATCACTCCATCTCTTCGCTAGCCCGTGCCACGCCCATTTAGCCCCCTCGATCCGGCCGAACAAAAGCTGTTTAGGCATGCGGTGGCTGGGCATGTGGGCTACATGGCCCAGCCAACGCAGCCTTGCCTGCCGGAGGGGCTCACCGATAGGACTTTATCCAGATCTTTAGAGGATTTGTGAGCTCCTAACACAATCCAGCCTGGTTAAACCCAGGATTGATCGTAGGCAGGCCAGCCTAAATGTTTCTTACCGGCGAAGATGTTCCATTAGGGGGGTCCACGTTTTGCAAGCATAGAGATGGGAGGGAATGACTGTGTCCGAGAAGACCTGAAGCTTCGTGTGGAGCGACAGACCAGGTAGCTTCCGCATAGCGTTACGCAACCGATGAAAGATATTGCCGCTCGACTGATTCGGAGTGAGACCTCTGCTGTTAAACCGGAGCCGGTCATGAGTACACTGCCCAGGTATGGGAAACTCTCCACTCTCTCCACAACTGCCCCATCACAGACTCATCACCAAGAGACCCATGGACGACTCATTTCAGACCCACAGACTCATCACAATAAGACCCATAGACTCATCACTCAGAGACCCACGTACAGAGACCCGCTAACAGCTCCACCTTTGTCTCCTGCAGTGGTGAACTCGGTATTCTGCCAGGACAAGGCTGATGGGCTGTACCCAGACCCCTCAGACTCCCACAGCTTCTACCACTGCTCCAATTCCCTGACGTACCACAAGCAATGTCCAGCCAACCTGGTGTTCAACCCGGCCATCAGCGTGTGCGACTGGCCCGGTACGTATGGCACATTCACCCCATCCATTCACTCACCCATTCACTCATTAATTCACCTCCCCACTCACACTCTCATTCACCCACTCATTCATTCATTCATTTACCCACTCATTCATTAATTCACCCACCCATTCATTCACCAACCCACTTGTATGCTCATTGACCCGCAAATTCATTCACCTACCCACTCGCACGCTCATTCACCCACCCACAGACAACTTACACAGAGACCCGTAGACTCCCATAGGGACTCAATGACTCATCACCCACAGACCCATAGACTACTCATTTGAGACCCATAGACTCATCACACAGAGGACCACATACTCATCACACAGAGACCCATAGACTCATCACACAGATAGCCATAGACTCATCACACAGAGACCAATAGACTCACCACACAGAGACCCTCGTACTCATCACACAGAGACCCGTAGACTTATCACATAGAGACCCGTAGACTCATCACATAGAGACCCACAGACTCATCACACAGAGACCAGTAGACTCATCACACAGAGACCAGTAGACTCATCACACAGAGACCCACAGACTTATCACACAGAGACCCACAGACTCGTCACACAGAGACCCATAGACTCATCACGCGGAGACCCACAGACTCATCACACAGAGACCCACAGACTCATCCCACAGAGACCCACAGACTCACTACACAGAGACCCACAGACTCATCACACAGAGACCCACAGACTCATCACACAGAGACCCACATACTCATCACACAGAGACCCACAGACTCACTACACAGAGACCCACAGACTCATCACACAGAGACCCACAGACTCATCACACAGAGACCCACAGACTCATCACACAGAGACCCACAGACTCATCACACAGAGACCCACAGACTCATCACACAGAGACCCACATACTCATCACACAGAGACCCACAGACTCATCCCACAGAGACCCACAGACTCATCACACAGAGACCCACAGACTCACCACACAGAGACCCGCTAACAGCTCCACCTTTATCTCCTGCAGTGGTGAACTCGGGATTCTGTCACGACAAGGCTGATGGGCTGTACCCAGACCCCTCAGACTCCCACAGCTTCTACCACTGCTCCAATTCCCTGACGTACCACAAGCAATGCCCAGCCAACCTGGTGTTCAACCCGGCCATCAGCGTGTGCGACTGGCCTGGTACGTATGGCACATTCACCCCATCCACTCACTCGCTCGTTCACCCATTCACCCACTCACCCAACCATTCACGCAAATATACACACATAGTCACCAATTCACCTCGCCACCCGTTCACTAACCCACCCACTCACTCATTCACCCACCCATTCATTCACCCACCCATTCATTCACTCACTAATGCGCTCATTCACCCAATCGTTCACCCACCCATAGACTACTCACACAGTAGAGACCCACAGACTACTCACACAGTAGAGACCCACAGACTACTCACACAGTAAAAACCCACAGACTACTCACACAGTAGATACCCACAGACTACTCACACACTGAGTCTGTGTCTGTGTCGGTTGTGCCGTTGCAGGCAACGTCGCAACAACGACCACCCAGGCAACCACCAAGTCAGGTAAGCCCTCAACTCGTGACGTCGCGTGTCGTCTCGTGACGTCACGTGTCGTCTCGTGACGTCACGTGTCGTCTCGTGACGTCACCACCCCCTCCCCCCACACTCCCCTCCATCTCCATTGCACGCCTTGACGAGGGTGTCGTGGCCTCTGTAGAAGCCGGGAGGGTGATGGTGGTGATGATGGTGATGGGGGTGATGGGGGTGGTGATGGTGGTGATGGGGGTGATGGGGGTGGTGATAGTGGTGGTGATGATGATCATCGCCACCAACGACAACCGCCATTCGCCACTAGGTGGCGGTGACGTCACCACGACGCTTGTGCTCGGCCATGTACACCAGAGGTCGCAAACGGGTTTTGATTCCTTACCCGTACCCGTACCCGGCCGCACCAGGGTCACAAACGGCTACCTGTACCCGTACCCGGCCTGGTACGGGTAGCCGGCTATCGGGTAGGGTACGCGTATCGGGTACCCGGTTGCGACCTCTGATGTGCACCTTGAGGCCACGTTAAGTGTCGAACGCCCGCTGGCAGGAGGTCACGGGGCAGACCCAGCAGGTGCCACGGGTCGACTGACCGAGATGACCGAGATGACTGGCTGATGCACCACCTGTGCCCCCTACTGTGCCAACTTGCTGTTTTAGCCACCCGGCGCTCCGCTCGTTGTTGTGAGCATCGCTCCTCCGCCTTCCGTTGTTGTTGGAGGGCTACTGCCTCCAACTGCCCAGTAGCGTCCTTCACGAGACTCCTCCACAGAGGCCGATCTTGACACCGCTGGTACCAGTCATCAGCAAGTCCACTCAGCTCCACATCCTCCTGTACCATATCACTCCATCTCTTCTCTAGCCTGTGCCATGCCCGTTTAGTCCCCTCGATCCGGCTGAACAAAAGCTGTTTCGGCATGCGCTGGCTGGGCATGCGGGCTGCATGGCCCAGCCAATGCAACCTTGTCTGCTGGAGGAGCTCACCGATGGGACTTTGTCCAGATCTTTCGAGGATTTGTGAGCTCCTCACACAATCCAGCCTGGTTAAACCCAGGATTGATCGTAGGCAGGCCAGCCTAAATGTTTCTTACCGGCGAAGATGTTCCATTAGGGGGGTCCACGTTTTGCAAGCATAGAGAAGGGAGGGAATGACTGTGTCCGAGAAGACCTGAAGCTTCGTGCGGAGCGACAGACCAGGTAGCTTCCACACAGCGTTACGCAACCAATGAAAAGACATTGCCGCTCGACTGATTCAGAGTGAGACCTCTGCTGTTAAACCGGAGCCGGTCATAAGCACACTGCCCAGGTATGGGAAACTCTCCACTCTCTCCACAACTGCCCCATCACAGACTCATCACCAAGAGACCCATAGACTACTCATTTGAGACCCACAGACTCATCACAATAAGACCCACAGACTCATCACACAGAGACCCGCTAACAGCTCCACCTTTGTCTCCTGCAGTCGTGAACTCGGCATTCTGCCAGGACAAGGCTGATGGGCTGTACCCAGACCCCTCAGACTCCCACAGCTTCTACCACTGCTCCAATTCCCTGACGTACCACAAGCAATGTCCAGCCAACCTGGTGTTCAACCCGGCCATCAGCGTGTGCGACTGGCCCGGTACGTATGGCACATTCACCCCATCCACTCACTCACCCACTCATTAATTCACCTCCCCACTCACACTCTCATTCACCCACTCATTCATTAATTAACCCACCCATTCATTCACCAACCCACTAGTATGCTCATTGACCCGCAAATTCATTCACCTACCCACTCGCACGCTCATTCACCCACCCACAGACAACTTACACAGAGACCCGTAGACTCCCATAGGGACCCACTGACTCATCACCCACAGACCCATAGACTACTCATTTGAGACCCATAGACTCATCACACAGAGGACCACATACTCATCACACAGAGAGCCATAGACTCATCACACAGAGACCAATAGACTCACCACACAGAGACCCTCGTACTCATCACACAGAGACCCGTAGACTTATCACATAGAGACCCGTAGACTTATCACATAGAGAGCCATAGACTCATCACACAGAGACCAATAGACTCACCACACAGAGACCCTCGTACTCATCACACAGAGACCCGTAGACTTATCACATAGAGACCCGTAGACTTATCACATAGAGACCCGTAGACTCATCACATAGAGACCCACAGACTCATCACACAGAGACCAGTAGACTCATCACACAAAGACCCGTAGACTCATCACACAGAGACCCACAGACTACTCATTTGAGACCCACAGACTCATCACACAGAGACCCATAGACTCATCACACAGAGACCCACAGACTCATCACACAGAGACCCGCTAACAGCGCCACCTTTGTCTCCTGCAGTGGTGAACTCAGGATTCTGTCACGACAAGGCTGATGGGCTGTACCCAGACCCCTCAGACTCCCACAGCTTCTACCACTGCTCCAATTCCCTGACGTACCACAAGCAATGCCCAGCCAACCTGGTGTTCAACCCGGCCATCAGCGTGTGCGACTGGCCCGGTACGTATGGCACATTCACCCCATCCACTCACCCATTCACTCATTCACCCCCCCCCCCCCCATTCATTCATTCACCCACTCATTAATTCACCCACCCATTATTTCGCCTACCCACTCGAACGCTCATTCAACCATTCATTAACTCACTAATTCGCTCATTCACCCACGCGTTCACCCACCCATAGACTACTCACACAGTAGAGATCCATAGACTACTCGCACTAAGACCGATAGACTTCTCAAACAGGAGAGACCCACAGACTACTCACACAGTAGAGACCCACAGACTACTCACACAGTAGAGACCCACACACTACTCACACAGTAGAGACACACAGACTACTCACAGTAGAGACCCACACACTACTCACACAGTAGAGACACACAGACTACTCACAGTAGAGACCCACAGACTACTCACACAGTAGAGACACACAGACTACTCACAGTAGAGACCCACAGACTACTCACACAGTAGAGACCCACAGACTACTCACACAGTAGAGACCCACAGACTACTCACACAGTAGAGACCCACAGACTACTCACACAGTAGAGACCCACAGACTACTCACACACTGAGTCTGTGTCTGTGTCGTTTGTGCCGTTGCAGGCAACGTCGCAGCAGCCACCACCCAGGCAACCACCAAGTCAGGTAAGCCCTCAACTCGTGTCGTCACGTGACGTCACATGTCGTCTCGTGACGTCACCACCACCCCCACACTCCCCTCAATCTCCATCGCACGCCTTGACGAGGGTGTCGTGGCCTCTGTAGAAGCCGGGAGGGTGATGGTGATGATGATGGTGATGGCGGTTAGTGTTGGTGGTGGTGATGATCATCATCGATGCTTGTGCTCGGCCATGTGTACCAGAAGTCGCAAACGGGTTTTGATTCCTTACCCGTACCCGGCCGCACCAGGGTCGCAAACGACTACCTGTACCCGTACCCGGCCCGGTACGGGTAGCCGGGTATCGGGTAGGCTACGGGTATCGGGTACCCGGTTGCGACCTCTGATGTGTACCTTGAGGCCACGTGAAGTGTCGAACGCCCGCTGGCAGGTCACGGGGCAGACCCAGGTGCCACGGGTCGACTGACTGAGATGACCGAGATGACTGGCTGATGCACCACCTGTGCCCCCTACTGTGCCAACTTGCTGTGCTTTAGCCACTCGGCGCTCCGCTCGTTGTTGTGAGCGTCGCTCCTCCACCTTCCGTTGTTGTTGGAGGGCGACTGCCTCCAACTGCCCAGTAGCGTCCTTCACGAGCCTCCTCCACAGAGGCCGATCTTGACACCGCTGGTACCAGTCATCGGCAAGTCCACTCAACTCCACATCCTCCTGTACCACATCACTCCATCTCTTCTCTAGTCCGTGGCGTGGCCGTTTAGCCCCCTCGATCCGGCCGAACAAAAGCTGTTTAGGCATGCGGTGGCTGAGCATGTGGGCTCCATGACCCAGCCAACGCAGCCTTGCCTGCCGGAGGAGCACACCGATGGGACTTTGTCCAGATCTTTCAAGGATTTGAGCTCCTCACACAATCCAGCCTGGTTAAACACAGGATTGATCGTAGGCAGGGCAGCCTAAGTGTTTCTTACCGGCGAAGATGTTCCATTAGGGGGATCCTCGTTTGGCATGCATAGAGATGGGAGGGAATGACTGTGTCAGAGAAGACCTGAAGCTTCGTGCGGAGCGATAGACCAGGTAGCTTCCACACAGCGTTACGCAACCGATGAAAAGACATTTGCCGCTCGACTGATTCGGAGTGAGACCTCTGCTGTTAAACCGGAGCCGGTCATGAGCACACTGCCCAGGTTTGGGAAACTCTCCACTCTCTCCACAACTGCCCCATCACAGACTCATCACCAAGAGACCCACAGACTACTCATTTCAGACCCACAGACTCATCACAATAAGACCCATAGACTCATCACTCAGAGACCCACGTACACAGAGACCCGCTAACAGCTCCACCTTTATCTCCTGCAGTGGTGAACTCGGTATTCTGCCAGGACAAGGCTGATGGGCTGTACCCAGACCCCTCAGACTCCCACAGCTTCTACCACTGCTCCAATTCCCTGACGTACCACAAGCAATGTCCAGCCAACCTGGTGTTCAACCCGGCCATCAGCGTGTGCGACTGGCCCGGTACGTATGGCACATTCACCCCATCCACTCACTCACCCACTCATTAATTCACCTCCCCACTCACACTCTCATTCACCCACTCATTCATTAATGAACCCACCCATTCATTCACCAACCCACTAGTATGCTCATTGACCAGCAAATTCATTCACCTACCCACTCGCACGCTCATTCCCCCACCCACAGACAACTCACACAGAGACAGGTAGCTCCCATAATGACCCAATGACTCATCACCCACAGACCCATAGACTACTCATTTGAGACCCATAGACTCATGAAAAAGAGGACAACATACTCATCGCACAGAGACCCATAGACTCATCACACAGAGAGCCATAGACTCATCACACAGAGACCAGTAGACTCATCACACAGAGACCCACAGACTCACCACACAGAGACCCGTAGACTCATTCCACAGAGACCCACAGACTCATCACACAGAGACCCACAGACTCATCACACAGAGACCCGTAGACTCATCACACAGAGACCCGTAGACTCATCACACAGAGACCCACAGACTACTCATTTGAGACCCACGTACTCGTCTCACAGATACCCATAGACTCATCACGCGGAGACCCACAGACTCATCACACAGAGACCCAGAGACTTATCACACAGAGACCCGCTAACAGCTCCTTTGTCTCCTGCAGTGGTGAACTCGGGATTCTGCCATGACAAGGCCGATGGGATGTACGCAGACCCCTCAGACTCGCACAGCTTCTACCACTGCTCCAATTCCCTGACATACCACAAGCAATGTCCAGCCAACCTGGTGTTCAACACGGCCAAAAACAGATGTGACTGGGATGGTACGTATCGCACATTCACCCCATCCACTCAATCACTCATTCACCCACTCACCCAATCATTCACGCAAACACACACACACACAGTCACCAATTCACCTCGCCACCCGTTCACTAACCCACCCACTCACTCATTTGCCCACTCACTCATTCACCCACCCATTCGCTCATTCACCCACTCGTTCACCCACCCAAAGACTACTCACACAGAGACCCACAGACTACTCACACAGAGACCCACAGACTACTCACACAGCAGAGACCCACAGACTACTCACACACAGAGACCCACAGACTACTCACACAGCAGAGACCCACAGACTACTCACACACAGAGACCCACAGACTACTAACACAGTAGAGACCCACAGACTACTCACACAGTAGAGACCCACAGACTACTCACACACTGAGTCTGTGTCTGTGTCGTGTGTGCAGTTTCACACGACGACGCAACAACGACTACCAAGGGAACCACCAAACCACGTAAGCCCTCAACTCGTGCAATCTCGTGTCAACTCGAGGCTACACGGGTCACCTTTGTCTGTGTCTATAGGCCCTGCTGCTGCTACTAACAGCACTTGCCCCTACAGCCCTGCTAGAGGCTACACGGGGCACCTTTGTCTGTGTCTATAGGCACTGCTGCTGCTACTAACAGCACTTGCCCCTACAGCCCTGCTAGAGGCTACACGGGACACCTTTGTCTGTGTGTCTATAGACACTGCTGCTACTAACAGCACTTGCCCCTACAGCCCTGCTAGAGGCTACACGGGGCACCTTTGTCTGTGTCTCTATAGACACTGCTGCTGCTACTCACAGCACTTGCCCCTACAGCCCTGCTAGAGGCTACACGGGGCACCTTTGTCTGTGTGTCTATAGACACTGCTGCTGCTACTCACAGCACTTGCCCCTACAGCCCTGCTAGAGGCTACACGGGGGACCTTTGTCTGTGTGTCTATAGACACTGCTACTAACAGCACTTGCCCCTACAGCCCTGCTAAAGGCTACACGGGCCACCTTTGCCTGTGTGTCTATAGGTGCTGCTACTAACAGCACTTGCCCCTACAGCCCTGCTAGAGGCTACACGGGACACCTTTGTCTGTGTGTCTATAGACACTGCTGCTGCTACTAACAGCACTTGCCCCTACAGCCCTGCTAGAGGCTACACGGGGCACCTTTGTCTGTGTGTCTATAGACACTGCTGCTGCTACTAACAGCACTTGCCCCTACAGCCTGCTAGAGGCTACACGGGGCACCTTTGTCTGTGTGTCTATAGACACTGCTGCTGCTACTAACAGCACTTGCCCCTACAGCCCTGCTAGAGGCTACACGGGACACCTTTGTCTGTGTGTCTATAGACACTGCTGCTGCTACTAACAGCACTTGCCCCTACAGCCTGCTAGAGGCTACACGGGGCACCTTTGTCTGTGTCTCTATAGACACTGCTGCTGCTACTAACAGCACTTGCCCCTGCCGTCTGCTAAGAGGCTACACGGGGCACCTTTGTCTGTGTGTCTATAGGGGCTTGTCGCTCACAGCCACTTGCCTCCTTGCCCTCTGCTAAGAGGCTACACGGGTCACCTTTGCCTGTCGTGCGCAGAGTACGTGGTGGACTTCTGCAAGGCGAAGGTGGACGGGATGTTCGCGGACCCAGGGAACTCGAACGCCTTCTACCACTGCTCCAACCACTACACCTACTACAAGCTCTGCCAGCAAGGCCTGGTGTTCAACCAGGGGCTCGGGGCTTGCGTGTGGCCATACCAAGGTGGGTCGGCTGTCTGTGCTGTGCGTGTGCGTGGGTGTGTTTGTGTGTATGTATGTGTGTGTCTGTATGTGTGTGTCTGTGCGTGGGTCTGTGTGTCTATGTGTGTGTGTCTGTGTCTGTGTGTGTGTCTGTGTGCGTGTGTCTATGTATGTGTGTCTGTGTGTGTGTCTGTGTGTGTCTGTGTGTGTCTGTGTGTGTCTGTGTATGTATGTGTGTGTGTCTGTGTCTCTGTGCATGTGTCTGTGTATGTGTGTGTATGTGTCTGTGTGCGTGTGTCTGTGTGTCTATGTGTGTGTCTGTGTGTGTCTGTCTGTGTGTGTCTGTCTGTGTGTGTCTGTCCGTGTGTCTGTATATGTGTGTGTGTGTCTGTGTCTATATGTGTGTCTGTGTGTGTGTCTGTATATGTGTGTCTGTGCGTGTGTCTGTGTGTCTGTATGTATCTGTGTGTGTCTGTGTATGTATCTGTGTATGTGTCTGCGTGCGTGTGTCTGTGTGTGTGTGATGTCTCCGGCAAAACAACCCCCTACCTCCTCATGGTGCCGGATGGACAACGCTGACGTGAGCAGTGCTGTGGGGGGAGGGCCAATTCAGATTGGCCTTTCCCCTCATGGCGTTTGTGACCACCACAGCGGCCAAAAGGGGGCTCTGGACGGGTGCAAGGGGCTGGTAACCCCTCCACCTTCAATTAATTACCGCTAAACCACGACGGAAAAATGTAATTAACAAGCTTGTGCCGGAGGCCCCGGGGGGACAGGCGTCTATGATGTCTCCTGGCCAAACCCCATTTGGCGGAGCCAGGAGACTGAATCTTCACCCTCGGGGCTCCTCCAGAAACAACGAAAAGCCACTTCGTGTGGCCACGTGGAATGTTCGAACGCTCACCGCGGAGGAGAGGCTGCCACTCCTCTGTCGGGAGCTGGACCGATACCGCCTGGATCTCTGTGGTATTCAGGAGGTCCGGTGGACCGGCTCTGGCTCCTGCCACCATGAGGGGTGGACATTCCTCTTCTCGGGGCAGGAGACTGCCAAACAACAGGGAGTGGCTCTTCTTCTTAGCGTGGCGGTGAGGCATGGGAAGCTGTAAGCCCCAGGCTACTTTGGGCTCGGCTTCCCATCAACCAAGAGGCGAGGAGTGGTGGTCGTGGTTACTTATGCCCCCGCTGAAGATGAACATCCGTGGAGAGATGCAGGCAAGGCCGATGAGTCAAATGCCTTCTATGACCTCCTGTCACAGGTGCTGGCTAATGTGGCCCCTCAGGATAGAGTGATCTTGTTGGGCACCTGGTCTGGAGTGATTGAAAGGCATGGGCCAGATCAGCTCAATAACAACGGCAGGAGGCTGCTAGATTTTTGTGCAGCCCATGGGCTTGTAATTACCAACATGCTGTTCCGGCATCGGCGCATCCACACATCATGGATGCATGCCGGGTCCAAGCAAGAACATCTGCTGGACCACATTGTGACAGAACAGCGGATGCGAGCTCATGTCCTTGACACCAGGACCTATCGTGGAGCTGATCTGCCCTCTGACCATCGACTTGTCATCTGTAAGATGCGCTTGCCATTCTTCCACTCCGGTGGTGGGTGTACACCCAGGACCCCATTCAAACCCTTAGTGGCCTGGTCTCAGAAGGCTGATGAAGGTTGGCATCGTTGGCATCGTCCCCCACTCCTCCTGATGTCGAGGGGAAATGGGCAAGGTTTAGGACTGCGACTCATGCAGCCACAATGGCTGCTTTGGATACACGGTCCAGACCTCCCCAGAGACCCTGGCTGACAGAGGAGGTGTTCAGGATAGTTGAGAAAAAGCGACAGCCTTCGCTCGGAGGTTCGGAGAACCGTGAGGCGCTGCAAGGATGGGTGGTGGTCGCGGGTTGCTGAGGAGATGGTGGTGGTGGTGGTACTGGTGGTGCTCGTGGTGGTGGTACTGGTGGTGGTGGTGGTGGTAGTGCTGGTGTTAGAGATGGTGGTGGTACTGGTGGTGGTCGTGGTAGTACTGGTGGTGGCGGTGGTGCTAGTCGTGATGGAGGTGCTAGTGGTGATGGAGGTGGTGGTGCTAGTGGTGGTGGTGCTAGTGGTGGTGGAGGTGCTAGTGGTGGTGGTACTGGTGGTAGTGCTGGTGGTGGCGGTGGGGTAATCCCGTGCCACCTTTGTCTCTCTCTCTGTGTGCCTGCAGGAGTCTAGGTTGGAGTCATGGGACTTCCAGGCAATGAAGACGCCTCCTGCAATGTCACCATCACCACCATCAATTCACTACCATCATAATCATCAACACCATCATCACCACCACATCACTACCATCACCATAATCATCGTGACTACCATCACCACCACTATCACTACCATCACCACCACTATCACTACTATCACCACCACTATCACTACCATCACCATAATCATCATGGCTACCATCACCACCACATCACTACCATCACCACTATCACTACCGTCACCACCACTATCACTACCATCATCATGATCATAGGGGCTGATGTTCCTCCTCGCTACTAGCAGCACTTGCCCCTAAAGCCCACTAGAGGCTACACGGGGGACCTTTATCTTTGTGTCTACAGGCACAGCTACTCACTACTAACGGCACTTGCCCCTACAGCCTGCTAGAGGCTACACGGGGGAGCTTTGTCTTTGTGTAGTGTCTTGAATCACGGACAAATAAACTCCTTTGAGCCACACACTGTTCATTGTCTTTCTTTCGACAAGGTCCTTAACACACTAACCTGTGTTTTAATTTAGTGCGCTGATCTTAAAGGTGCATTGAAAAATGTTGACACTCCGACTGATGCTCCTGCTGCTGTTGTGGAGTGACTCATGCTGCCAGCTATGGCTGCAGAGGTTTGGTGGTACATGTTGTTGACGTCGTTTATTGTGAAAATTTGGTCACAGTTCCTATGATCACTGTTTCATTTGATTTTATGGCTTTATTTTGGTGATTTTAGAAAAGTTTTTTCGGTTTGGCCATGTTTGTGTTGTTGTAGTAACGAGTTAGACTGATGGCCTTAATCTAAGTTGTCTTGTGGTTGTTGTTTGTGTTGTTGTAGTAACGAGTTAGACTGATGGCCTTAATCTAAGTTGTCTTGTGGTTGTTGTTGTTGTTTGTGTTGTTGTAGTACAGAGTTAGACTGATGGCCTTAATCTAAGTTGTCTTGTGGTTGTTGTTGTTGTTTGTGTTGTTGTAGTACAGAGTTAGACTGATGGCCTTAATCTAAGTTGTCTTGTGGTTGTTGTTGTTTGTGTTGTTGTAGTACAGAGTTAGACTGATGGCCTTAATCTAAGTTGTCTTGTGGCTGTTGTTGTTGTTTGTGTTGTTGTAGTACAGAGTTAGACTGATGGCCTTAATCTAAGTTGTCTTGTGGTTGTTGTTGTTGTTTGTGTTGTTGTAGTACAGAGTTAGACTGATGGCCTTAATCTAAGTTGTCTTGTGGTTGTTGTTGTTGTTTGTGTTGGTGTAGTACAGAGTTAGACTGATGGCCTTAATCTAAGTTGTCTTGTGGTTGTTGTTGTTGTTTGTGTTGTTGTAGTACAGAGTTAGACTGATGGCCTTAATCTAAGTTGTCTTGTGGTTGTTGTTGTTGTTTGTGTTGTTGTAGTACAGAGTTAGACTGATGGCCTTAATCTAAGTTGTCTTGTGGTTGTTGTTGTTGTTGTTTGACTTGCATCCCACTGGGATTTTTGCACACAGCGTTGGTGTACGGTGCCTTCCCTGGTCTCAGACTCCGGATCGCCCTCAGTACTTCCTCAACAGCTGGAACCTCAGCCAGCCACTCACAGGGGGTGACCTCTTCCAATATTTGAGGCACCGCAGCCTCAGCAGGGTTATCCCCACTTTGTGCCATGATGTTTTCCTGGCTGAGAGAATTTCCCTCCCCCAGGACCTCACAGAAATGCTCAGAAAATCTGCAAACCTGTTCCTGGGGGTCGGAGATTGGATCACCGTTTTTTCCTCTAATGATGGTAATAGGTGTGGCGCTGCAGGTTACTTTTTTGATGGAGTTAAATAGTGATTTGTGATCACGGGCCACTGAGGCAGACTCCATCTCCTCAGCAACCCGCGACCACCACCCATCCTTACAGCGCCTTACGGCTCTCCGAACCTCCGAGCGAAGGCTGCGGTAAGCCTCCTCATTCTCTGACGTGGGATGCTGTAACCGATGAGAGTGGGCCTGTCGCTTTTTCTCAATTAACCTGAACACCTCCTCTGTCAGCCAGGGTTTCTGGGGAGGTCTGGACCGCGTACCCAAAGCAGCCATTGCAGCTGCATGAGTCACAGTCATAAACCTCGCCCATTTCCCCTCAACATCAGGTGGAGTGGGGGACGATGCCAACCCCAGCTGCAAGCGATGATGAAATTCATACACACACATACAGACACACACATACACACACACAGTAAGACACAGACAGATACACACACATTAAGACACACACACACATACACACAGACACACACACACAGACACACACACACAGACACAGAGTCGCCCCGAGTCACCGATCTCGTCGTCTGTATTTATAGAACACACGAAGGCGTCAGTCGCTAATCGCTCAGTTGCATCGTTACCCCGTCAAAGATTAAAAAAACAAAATCAAACCTTCCTCCCCGTGTGACCTCTTTAAATAACACCGCTGGAGGGAAATTGCCGTGATTATTTTGTGTTATTTTTAGCAGAAGCAGCAGCAGCCGAACTCATAAGAAACTTATTCTTGGTTCTTTCGGTAAAGTCACGTAGAAGGGAAATAATAAATATAAAACATGATAAAATACAATTCTCACGACGTTTCGTCCTCAGGACGGCTGCTTGCGTTATTTTATAATGTTTTATTTTTATTATTTTATTACTTCCCTTCTACGTGACTTTACCGAAAGAACCAAGAAGATGAATCCCTGCAGTCACGAAAGCTTTAAATCGAAATTTATAAGAAACTATTCGTGTGTTTAACCGGGTGGGAAACTTCCACTGAACTACTGGGTCGTCAGCTAGGTT